CAGGCCCCCCTGATTTCAGGAGTGTGGATATTGATTTTTAATGAAAGTATACCTAGAACATTTAATTCAGCTTCTAAATATTGTCTTTAAATTATATTTTATTAAAGTTGTTAAATTTATTTATTAACGAATAAATAAAATATTAGTTTAGCTTATTTTTAAATTAATTCCATTTTTCTCATTAGTTTTTAAAGATTAGATTTACCGCTTTTCTTATCATTTTGTTCACAGATTTTAAAGATCGGACAGGAGAGATAGTTGTTTAGTTTTTACTAATAAACTCTTAAAAGTAGTTTTTAGGAGACAATGCAGAAAACTTTTCTACAACGGGACCTCTTTTTCAGATTTCTTTTCTAATAGTTCTAAGCTATATGGATTGCATATAACAAGAACCACATCTCGTCTTATCTGTGTAATCTGTGATTTCATTTCTTTCCAAAAAATGTCGATTATTTTAACAGTTATCACTTAGTGTTCACACCTTAAATTAAAAGTTTTGACCCAGTAAGATACAATTAACATTTAGTTTTTTTTGTAGCATTTTTATCAGGACTGTAAGCGCAATCTCAATGGATTCTTTATGCAATTTCGATAAATGTTTATTTTTGATTTTCAGTTCTGTACAACATTGACTTGTAAATTTCCACTGCAGAATAAAATATAGGAATTATCGGAATTAAACACTTACAAACCTGGAAAATGGCGATATATTCCACAAAATTGATTAGGTTTCAAGGACGTATACCGTAGTGAATTGGACAATGCAATGTTTTTACTAAAGGGAGTATATGACTGAAATGAATCCTAAAGAATTTTTCCACAACACTGCATTCTTAGTTTAACGACCTTACATAGCCGGTCTGTCCCTTTAAGGGTCACTTGGAACTACGCTCACATTCCCTCTAATCTGCAGTAATCACTGTTTCATTTTAGAATTCTCAGAAGTAAGAAAAGTTTACGAAACTATTGTCTTTAACATTCATGCTCAGTTTATGTTAAATTTCATTTTAGCAGTGCTGTTTAATAATTATCATGCTACAATGTCAAATTTGCCGTATATATTGCGGCAATATGCTATAAAGTTAAATTGGTTTCTCAATTTTTTTTTGTTTATTTAAAATTTCAAATTCAAATCAATATATTTATTTTTTGATTTCTGCTAAAGCTAGAGACAAAATTCAATCAAAAGTTTTGAACTTTCTCAATGCAAGGTTTTAGCACAAATAATAGTGTTATAAATAATGAATATTAGTTATTTTGAAAAAAAAAATTTTTTTTCAGGTTTTTTACTGTTTGGTGAGATGGAGATCCAAACACTGAAGCAGTACAATGTACTGCTGCTTGGAACCTGTTTTTGTCTTGTGTTTACCGGTTTCAATACTATGGGTGGAATCCAGACCCTCATATTTAACTCAGCTACAACCAACGGCTCTGGTGGATATGTTGAAGGGTTCCATGGAAATGGATATTGGAGGTAAACCCAGTCCCCCCTCTCACATCCCCCTAAACTTTGCAGTGAGTCCCAAAAAACATGAGGGACAAGTGACGACTTTATGATCGTTTTTATCTCTAGGGGGCATTCAGTCCTGGAAATTCAACTCTAATAACAAAATTGAAATAAAAACACCAGAATCTGGGATTTTCAAAATTTGATCTGCCTTTTTTACATTTTTAATTTTTTTTATACCACCCAATTTGAATGATTACTTTTTGATTGATTGATTACGTTATTCCCATGTTTATTAAACTTTTTAAATATCATTATTTTCAGTTTTTCAAAAGGACTTGCAATTTATGTTGCTAATAGAAATAACTGACGGTTAAAAAAACTTAGTTTTCATCTATATGGGGTAGCGATCATCTATATGGTATTCACTGCCGCTAACTGCAGATTAAAAAACATTTAGTTTGGCAATCATCTATATGGTATTCACTGCCGCTAACTGGATTAAAAAACATTTAGTTTGGCGATCATCTATATGGTATTCACTGCCGCTAACATAGATAGTTTCATTTGAAAGCTAATATTTTTTTTCTTAAGACAGTGTGGTCAGCATATACATGAATACAGTGTTGGTTTCTAAAATCTTTATGTAATACAATTTCCGCACTTTGTACTTTTTGTATATAAACCGACGGTGACCACACTTTATTATGTAGCATTTCAGCATCCGATTCTGTATTAAAATTAATGCCAGACTTTTCTTTCTATCACCATTTCAGTAAAATATTTTGTATTGATATATATGCTGACCCCGGTATATTTTTTTCATATCTCATTGTTTATATTTCTCCCCCAGAGTGACAATGATAGTTGGAGCAGTCGCCTATGGATTATTTATTGCTCAGCTCCTAATCTTAAATGATATTCTTCTCTACGTTTCTTCTGCTCTACTTGGAGTAGGAGCAGCGATAATCTGGACAGCTCAGGTAATAATTGGTTCATAGATATCTGTTTACTCTTGGTACTAGTTGGTCTATAGATATCTATATAGCATATCTTGACAGTCTGGTTAATAGTTGGTCAATGGATATCTCATAACCTGCTCAGGTAATAATTGGTCCATAGATATCTGTTTACTTTTGCTAATTGGTCTATAGATATCTGTATAGCATATCTTGACAGTCTGGTTAATAGTTGGTCAATGGATATCTACACATTGCACATTTGTTTACTCTTGAATTATAGTTGGTGTATGGATATCTATATTTTATAACTTGGCAGTCTGGTTAATAGTTGGTCTATAGATATCTACATTGTACATCTAGGTAGTTTAGGTAACAGTAGGTCTATGGATATCTACATTTTACATCTTGGCAGTCTAGGTAATAGTTGGTTTATAGATATTTACATTGTCATAGAATAAATTTCGGGCATTTTCTGCCCTTTTTGTATTAGTAAGCCGTAGATCAAAATTTTATACGGTCATCCATGGTCAGGTTGACATTTTCATTTTTAAATTATTTCCTATTTCAGGGTAATTTTCTCTCTTTGAACTCGGATGACTCAACAATGGCCCGAAACTCTGGAATATTCTGGGCAATGTCCATCTCCTCCAGCTTCATTGGAAACATCTTCGTGTTCTTCATGTTCAGCAGAAGCGGGACGGAATATATCGACGAGGCGACAAGAAATACTGTTGGAATTGTTCTTCTCTGTGTAACCGTGGCTGGAACATGTTTAATGTTTTTTCTCCGTCCTACTCCCTGGGCGGAATCTACAACCTCTGCTAAGGGTCCGCTTGAGGCCCTGAAGGACTCTGCCAAGCTGTTCGTAACCAAGGATATGCTTCTACTAAGTGTGACCTTCTACTATACTGGAGTTCAGCAGAATATTTGGTCCTCAGTTTACGGAACATCTATCGGGTATACCAACGCGTTTGGCAAGGAGGCCAAGGATTTGACTGCGATGAGCGGGATATTTGTCGCCCTCGGCGAGGTTCTAGGCGGGGCCTTGTTCGGTATATTTGGTAGCTTGACGGTAAAACGAGGTCGGGATCCTATAGTACTTCTAGGGTTTATCCTCAGTATGGTTGCTTACTTCTTAGCATTCCTGAACCTACCAAACAGTTCGCCTTTGGGGGCTACGGACGATAAAGCTTTCATAGGTAAATATTGGAACATTTCTTCATTTCATTTCATTAAAAAATTCTTCCAAACTCGATGCTTATATTTTTACAGTGCTAACCAGAAAACTGTTAATAAAAAACCATTAATATCTTTTTAAAGTTTATAATTGGAAGCCATTACTTAATTACATAATATTGGTTAGTTGATGCATGGTTTTAAAAATGTTTTGTTTGTTATTTTTATTATTCAGAAGCATCATTAATGTCTTTCTTAACCTTAACAAATTTTATCTTTTTTTCTTGGAAAATACATTATTGAGATAAGCTGCAGGATTCCAATGAAGCATTACAATAACAATAAAAAGATTTTGATAATTTATTAGTTAAAATAGTTCTACGTCATGATTACTAATAGAAATTAGAACATTTACTTTGAATACCATCATAAATGTACAAATAACATTAATTAAATGCTAACATATAAATCCTGAAACAGTAAAAGTTAATTGCTGGAGATATTGCGTAATATTTAACATGATGACAACGCTATGAAACGTAATTAAGCAGCATAATCTTAACGTGAAAAAATGATGTGAATTTACACTTTTTTACGTTTTTGCTGCATAAATTGGTAATCGGTATGCTCTCGTACAAGTATGACTGATCAGGTTGGCCGTATCAAAATAACTTCATGGCTTTTTATAACCTTTAAGCATTACACGGTACAATCCCCTTTCCAATTCGATTTTAACGCATATCCAAGAAATTTTACGTTTAAATGTTTTCATGTAACACATTCGCCATGATTATTACAAAAACGTCATCTCTTGCTTAAAACTGTGAAATATTTATTGTTTAGAATCTAACAAATACCTGGCCATTTTTACCAGCTTCCTCCTGGGCTTTTCAGATGCTTGCTTTAACACACAGGTAAATATATAATGCATATATGTACTGAAATAACAAAACATGGAACGGACAGTTATTTTGTATTTCGTTTTGCATAAAATCTGTTTAAAAATCTAAGGTTTGGCCTGAAATACAATTGCGTAATTGTTTTACAAAGGTATATTTTTAGACTTGACATCAGGGAAAATTATTCTCTTCAATTATTTCGCAATTTAATACTTTGGGGCGAACTTCTATATAAAATTAATCAAATGCGGAAAAAGAAAAGAGATTTCTTGACCGTTAGAACGGTAAGAGTCGAATATTCAAACTTATTGATATTTCCTTAAAATTCTTATTTAAAAAAAAGTAGTAAAATTGTTCAGTCTTAGAGTTTACTTAATGATAAACCAGCATTGTAAAAACTAGTCAGTTTAATGTTTATGTTTTTATTTAAGTAAACAAATTGATAAACAATTACGCAGTTTAGGAATTTTTAGAATTAATAAATAAATTTATTGTTAGTTAAAAAATTAGTAATTTTGAAAATTGACAAATCATTAGAATAAAAACTGCAAAATTTGTCTGCTCTTCTTATTAAGGATTTACAGGCCATGAATTGGAAAACTGAAAATTCTTTACAGTTTACTTGTTTTTAGTATTGTAAGAATTGAATATTTGACACCAACTTGTAACTTATGGCAAGTGTTACTTATGGCAAGTGTTACTTATGGCAAATTTCATTTTCTGTTTTTATTATGTAAGAATTGAAAATGTAGCACCATATTTTTCTGAAAACTCCTTCCCCCTAGTCTTTTTTTAATTGTCAAATCTTCAATTTACATTTTCTTATCTTTAAACGAGACTTGTTTGCCTTTTGAGATATTTTGTTCATAGTTTTTTTTTATTATTTACATTGTTTTAAATTTAGTCCAATCAAACTCCGGTTTCGACAAAAATTTTACTTCTTAGAAAATGCGCCAAATTTTTCCCGTTTGTTTAAAAATACTTCAGTTAAATGTAAAAAAAAAACAGACTTCTAAAATCATATTTTGCGTTATAATGTCATTTTTTCCCCTCGTTTTTACTTATGGCCTATTCCCTTGCTGCATGTTGACGATAAAATCTATCATATAAGATAGTAATCTCTGTTTATCTGTGTCTGTTTGTTTTGAATGTCCGATCATAGCTCACGAACATAAGTTTTTTTGAACTTTTATTTTAGGTTTTCTCTATTCTTGGTGGAACCTTTAAGGAGAATTCTTCCTCCGCCTTCGCCATCTTTAAATTTATGCAATCCTTCGCTTGCGCCATTGCCTTCTGGTACTCTCCTGTTCTCAAGCTGTACTGGCAGCTGCTCATAGCAGTTGTACTGGATGTACTGGGTACACTTGCGTTCTGTTTCGTAGAATGGAGAAGAAACAAGTAAGTTTGGAATTATAATAACAAAAACATCAGAAAAGACTTACTTTGACGATGAAAAAATCTGTTTAAGATGGCTGCGACCAATACTTGGGCCTTTTCTCTTTAATTTGTGTACATATTGTGTACAACTAGTTGTAGACTATCAAGTGTTAATCGACTTCCTAGCTTAATATCTAGTTGTAGCTGTGTTGTAGGCTACCTTATGGAGCATCTTTAATATACAAAGTAGTACGTTTTTCATGTATGTCCGATCATGACTCATGAAACCCTTGAACGCTTCGCTTCAAATTTGAATTGAGGCTCTGTTAGAAATTTTGTTCAGATTTCCTGGTAAAGTTGGTTGCCCTTGCAAGGAAAACAGGGTTACAAACTAGTGTTCTAATATTTCTGATCTTGTTTTCAGGGACTCAAGTAAACTTCAGGATACAAGCTGTGGATTAGAACAGGAGGAACACCAGTCAGAGAACTAACGATAACAAGTTCCATAATAACAATCAAACTATAACGATGCCAAGGACATGGTGGAAAATCGGGATTTTTAGTTAATATTTAAATATCAAATTATTTTTAATCCCATATTGGAATAAGTAAATTTCTACGAGTGCCATATTGACAAAGATTTTCAATCTTTAAAAAAAGTTCGTCACGAATTCTGAATAAAAACGGAATGGTTTATATTTCTGAAGTGAATGCAAGTCTTCCAAGTCTTAAAATAGTATCATTTTTACATTTTTCTACACTCAGTATTTTCTAAATGACACCCGTTAGTTTTATTTTGTTCTTGAAAGCTGCATAATAGATAATAGATATTACAGATAACATTTATGTGGTTTTCCGCTATTTTTAATGCCTTAGAAGTTGTGTTGAATTAAAGAATTTGTTTAATCCATTTGATTAACGACTGCTCGTAAACCAGTAAAGATAAAAAATATGAATTTATTACTTGTGTGTTCACGCCATTTTTCAATAATATTATTAGGACATCACATTGCTTTGTTTCTAAAGTTAATATAATTTTTTTTGACACACTGACAATACTTTTATAGTAGTAAAACAATATTATTTTTATACAGGGTGTCCCACGAAACATGACAGTTGGTGAATAGTTTTTAACGTCATCTTTCATATGCTATATTAAATATTCAAGACTTTTTGCAGTTTATTTCGTTAAAAAAATCTTTTAATCAAATATATTTTACTTTGAAATTTTACTTTCAAAATTCCATGTTATAGTTTTTTTTCTTTCTGTTTGGTATCAAAGAATTTCCAAATTATGGAAGAATACATTTAAAACTATTCACCCACTGTCATGTTTCGTACGGGACACCCTGTACCTCATATTTGTACGTTTGTTAAAATTTTGACCAATGTAATTTTTTCTGTGATAATTGTTACAGTCTGTACAAATACATTATATTTGTTATTTCGTATTCTTCAACTGTATCTTAAAGATTCCGTCCACAAAGAACGAGGCTTTAATTATGGACCAATAACTCAGTTAACTATAGTGATCTTAGTCTTTAAATTGTATGTAAATTATTCGCTAAAAAAGGAAGATTACACTAAGAAGAAAAGAAAAAAGGCTGTATAATTGTGATGTCTCATTCTTTTGGCCAATTTCTTATTCATGTTACCATAGGCACAACTATAGGTTGTTCGCCAATTTCTTAGACGTTCTACCACAGGTAAGACTGTGGTCACACTATGGTTAAGCTTTACCAAAGCAGTCTAGATAGATAGATAAGACCTATAGTTGTACGTATGGTAATATCAATAAGAAATTGGCCATAAATCTATCTAAACTGCTCTGGTAAAGTGTGACTATGGTTCTACCTATGTTGGAACGTCCAAGAAATTGGACATTTAATTGTGGGTAATAATGTATTGCAGTTTTTTCCTGCAGGGCTCTTGTGAACATTAACACTCATAAAACTTTATAGGAAGACGACATTTAGGCAAATTTATGATTAAATGATGATTTTTTAACGCAAATAGTTTTAGCAGTAGCTTGAATACCATCTTATACAATGAGATGGGTCTTTGTACAATGTACACGGCACAATTGCTGTTCATTGAACTATTCAAAGTTTTAACTAGACTTGAACAGTCGTCTTTCTTTTCCACATTTTTATGGATATCACTGTATATCCAGTGACCAGTACAGCGAGTACAGCAGTAATGATGAATTATTGCCAAAATAGCGGCGACATCGATTCAACTTTTTTTAATAGTGAAAACTGTAAATCAATTTATTTAAAAAAATTTTTTTTGTATATTTCCATTTTTTTAAATGTTTAAATATCCCTTTTTAAACCCCCCTACCACCCCANCACACTTAATACTTAAACGTACATTTGAACAGTTTGATATGAATCTTAATGAGAGAAATGAATTTCAAGGGATATAAATTGTCTTTAAACATTCTGAAATAGTGAATATTTACATTTTTTGTACATATCTGAGTTGGTTTCCCTTTTTTTCATTTGACAACCCATTTTTTCTGTCTATTTTCTTGTGATATTAATGTTGATTTTGATTGTTATCATTTCGTCCGAACTGAGGATGGTCAACCCAGACCAAAATGTTTTTTAAAATGTTGAACTTAAGCCTAAACCTGGAGCATCATCAACACCGAATTTTTAGTTCACTTTTTATTGGTTACCAATTGTTTTTATAAAACAGACAAGGAATTGAATAATTGACAGATAGAACACCTAAAATTGTTCTGCAATCAGATTTCTTTTCTGAAGTGCTTTATACCCATTCCATTTAGATAAATCCGGGCATAGCCCAAAAATACAAATTTCTGTTAGAATCTTTTTTAAATGTTGCTTTTTTCCCTCACAACTTTAGGGTCAAAGGATAAGAATTCAGAGACGACTATTTAGCACTCTGTATTACGTTCCTGGTAATCTGTTTCTTTTTTAGCCAAATCTTTAATAAACCATTTAAAGCAGTGCTTAGGATCCATTTAATTTTAATCCGGATTCGGATCCTGGATCCGCACTGGAAAAAAATGGATCCGGATCTAGGTTATTTCCATAAAATTTACTGAATTTTTTATAACAAAGCAGAAATTTAAAATTTTTTGTTTTATTCTTTTTGGCTTATTTCTATGCTACAACTTGATGAACCATTCAGAAATCAGGATTTTTGGGGTTGTCATTGAAGTCTCGTGCTTAGAGGGTAATCGTTTAGCTTGGCAATAGAGATCAGTTACCAAATAAGAATCTGTAAAATGCGTGCTCAGTGGAACCAGCTGAAGATAAGTGATATAACTCAGTTTACATAAAGGGTGTCCCTCGACATGACAACTTAGCATTTGATATTGTGTTAAAATAAAAACGGTAATTTGAACATTTTTGGTTGATATTCTGCTACTTGAATAAATAAATAAAATAAATAAATAAAGTAAACTTTATCAGCTTTTTATCCCGCATCGGGATTTTTAAAAACTAATTTAAGACGGAGCTATAATTTTCTGATTTATTTTAATTTAATACAAACAATATGAACTCATTCATCACTCCATCTTGAGGGTCGTTTCCTTGGTTTCTTTTCTTCAATTAATCTCGAGTTAGGATTATATCCGGCCTCTGATGACTCCGCGGCTCTGAAGTTTGACATAAACTGGTTTTTGTACGCCATCTTGACCGCCGCGAGCCGGTCAGTGCCCGGTCGCGCCAACCCTTCGCTTCTCTTCCTGTCATAAGCAAACTGTTCTGATATTGGAGTCTCATCCTGAATAGCAAATTGTTGCAAATTAGACACGTTATTTAAATTCCTCAAAGGGACTGTAAGCGGAATTTCAAGTGACCTTTTGTGCATAGATGGCACAGTCCGATTCACAACAGAACCCTTTAAACCATTATCTGTTTTCTCAAGAATGTCGAGGATTTTGTGAGTTTTCTAGCCTTTCAAGTTTTAATTCTAATAATTAATAAATGCTTAAGTTTCTGTAGAAAAAACAAACTTGAAAATAATCAGCTTTTAATAATATAAACATGAATATCTACTTCATACTTGTTCAGACAAAACTTTCATGAGTACCGTTGTGAATTGGACCTTGCCATCTTTGCATCGGTTTAGAAAACAAAATATTACGGAATTATTCCTAAAGATACTATGATAACCAAAAAACTCTGGAATAAAAAGACGACTATAATAATAAATTCATGACTTTAAATAGACCAAAAAACATGAGACACAGCTAGTGTGCAGCGCAAACAGATCCATTTCACGTTGTAAGTTGATTTTCTAACTATTTGCTCTGTAACCACATCGAATACCCTTAATTATTACTTAAATGTCGTCTTCTTATTCCAGAGTTTTCTGGTTCTCACTATAGCACACTATTAACTGAAGATAATTAATAAAATCATGAATTTGGAAGTTGCGGATTTTGAAGTGTGAATGTTAGGTGCCTTCCAGAAGGATTGAAGTTTAGAAAGGATAAATTCAATTTGTTTTACCTTACTGTTGCTGGTGTCTCCCTCGTATCCCAGAGCAGGCCGGTCCCTGAACCCTAAACCAGTTCCTCCAGCTCCTTTACCCTTCCCCTTCTTATATCTGGAGTTCTTAAACCACTGAGCCTGCATCGCCAGCTCCATCAGATCTCTGGGAACCTCCTGGTTCGCCATCTCCAGGTTTCTTTAACAATAAATCAGTTCAGAATTCACCGGTTTTTTATTAGGAAAGGGAAAATCGCACTTATTTTTTTGCTTGTTTAAGTGGTAGAAATCCGCAACTAGTGTTGAAAAGGACATTTTGTAATAAAATTTCAAATATCTCAATTTTATAAGATTCAACAAAAATATTCCCATAAGGTTTCTTTGTTACACGAAGGAAATTTGTTTACCCTGTTACTAAGGCAAAAAATAGCAAACCTAATATAACGGAACGAATGTTTTGATTTATCCAAAATTTTTACGAACTAAAATATTATATCAATAATGTTTGGGATTTATTTCAGCGGATAGAAACCAAAAAAATATAGAAAAAATAGGAAAAAATTTAGGGTCCATCGATGAAAATAAGGACAAAACTCTTTAAGTATCCTAATGTAATAAAAAAGACATTCATAAATATGTTTCTGTTAAAAACATTTTCTTTTTTTTCCACGGGCAACGCCGGGTCTTTTAGCCAGTGATTAATATTATCTTTAAAAAACAGTCCATCATTTAGTAAATATTCGAACTTTAACGAAATTTTTACTTTATTAAATCGAATCAAATAACAAGTTGCAGGGATGGTCTTAAGACTCCAGTACTGGATTGGAGTATCAAGTTCTTTCCAGTTTCCATGTCCTTGCGAATTCAAAATATAATCTCTTTAGTTTTATCAAATCAAAAAGCTTTCCATGTCCTGATGAAACTGTACCTGACTATGTGACCGGCAAACTCTTTGTCGTTGGCTGTTATAAGTGTGTATGCGTCCCCCTTCACCCCTGCTCGACCCGTCCGTCCTACTCTGTGTGTATGTGTGTCGATATCCCTACAAAAAGTCAGTTTAAGTATTTTTAAAGCTTGATAAAAAATATTTATCATATTTTATCTTTTTCTTTTATTTCCCCTTTAAAGGCGTAAGATTTTGTTTACAAAAATCGAGTTCAAAGATTACACAAGTCAAAAGATCATAGAATGGTTAGTGTTAAAGGGAGTGTTCGCGAAAAATGAAAGGGGGTATAGGCTTAATGCGATAAAAAAGCGCTTTTGATCGCTAATAATCTTACTTCTATCTGTTGCGTCTATAAGGAGAAAATTGTTAAAGACGTCTCATACCGAAGAACGTAGTGTCCATACAAATTGAGAAAATTGCAACATACGACTTAGACCGTAAAAAAATCAATTTAATTTCAAACAAATCTTTCAGATATTACAACCTATAGTCATCGATTATCTTTCGCCACATTTATATATAGTTGATTTTTCATAATATGTTTTAATTGTTACGATCTGAGAGTTACATTTATTCCTGTTTCGAGGATTTTTGGTAATGAAGGCGACATTTTCATATTTTCCAAGAATGTTCGAAAACAAGTTGTAAGCTAAATATTATTTTAAAAAACAAAATCAAAACTAGTATGAAATATCAAATATATACAAATGTGGCGAAAGATAATCGATGACTAAAGGTTGTAATATCTGAATGATTTGTTTGAAATTAAATGGATTTTTTTACGGTCTAAGTCGTATGTTGCAATTTTCTCAATTTGTATGGACACTACGTTATTCGGTATGAGACGTCTTTAACAATTTTCTCCTTATAGACGCAACAGATAGAAGTAAGATTAGAAGCGATAAAAAGCGCTTTTTTATCGCATTAAGCCTATACCCCCTTTCATTTTTCGCGAACACTCCCTTTAAATGTGCAACGTTTGTGTAATAGAACCTTAAACGGTGAAACATCATCCATTTTGAAAATTCATAATTGACGCAACAGCGACGAGATAGGAAATCGACAGAAAGTACTTCAGGGGATATTAGTTCCAAAACAAACATTTGGCCCATTTCTAACACAGAGTGATAGAAATGGGCCAAGTGTTAGTTTTGGAACAAATGTCCCCTGTACTTTGGCAGTCTCAAAACTAATTAAATGTTATCTCAGGAGAAAATTAAATAAAAAATTGGATATCAACGGAAAGCTTTTTCACCCAATTAGATGCAACTTTTTACCCACAAATTTATTTCCCCTCTTAAACATAAATTTTTTATTATAAAAATATTGTCACCTGGCAACATCGAAGTTTACAACTGTCCTAACGTGCGGTATATCTAGACCACGAGCTGCTACATCTGTAGCAACTAGGACAGGGAACTCCTGCTTCTTGAAGGCGGAGATAATCTCGTTCCTCTCACTCTGGAACACGTCTCCGTGTAGGCATCTAAACAAGGGCTCACTCAGATACAATTGTTTATGATTATCAAACATATTCAAATTCTTCAATTTAAATCTAAAAATTTCTTTTTGGAGAAGAATGAGTTTAGTTTAGTTTTTGAATTACTCCAAGGACACTTAAAGGGATGTAGTAGGAGTTACGTTACATTACATTACAGTAGGAGTTAACATAGTAAATCGCGTTACAAGTTTCTTGTTATTCTTCTGTTGGTAGAATAAGGCAGATTTAAAGCATGTACGTATAAATAATATAAAAGATGGGTTCTCTGGTTTTTAATTGTTGGAGGTAAAATCATGCAGAATATGTTATGTAAAGCATTTGAGAAAACCTTACACAGCATCTAATATAATATATTGATTTTATTGAGATCATATAAAAACCAGCTTATCAATTCTTTTTAAAATTAAAGAAAAATGTTTCCTTCCAGTTTACGATTCTTTTAATCATCTGAAGTATAGAAGACGACATTAAAATTGTCATTTAAAATGTAGAACCAAGTATGTAAAGCTAAATCAGCCGTACATTAATAGTTTAATGATCATCTGAAGTACAGAAAACGACATTAAAATTGTCATTTAAAATGTAGAACCAAGCATTATTTCAGTCAAGAATAATTTTAATCTGTTTTATTTTTCAATAATTAGAAATAACTAATTGAAATAAAGATGATAAAATATAGGACCTGCAATCTATCTCTGCCTTGACCTTGAGATTGTGCGCCAGCTCCTCGCTGTTCTGCTTCTTCGTCACGAATATAAGGACGGACCCCGTGGACATAAACTTGACCAAGGACTTGGTCAACCACTGCCATTTGTATCCTCCTAACGGACAAACCTTTACACAAATATATTATTGATAAGATTTTGAATATTGTAACCAAACTTCTTCGAATCATGACTAGAAAAATTTACGATCTGGAATAAGTGTAAATCAAACCAAACCAAACCAAACTATATCATATCATGTCATATCATATCATTGATTACTATAATCAAGCTGGTCGGCCAGTTTATGCATGCGCTATGGATCTATCCAAAGCGTTCGATCTTGTATCTTGGGATAAATTGTTCCCCGATCTATTGGAAAGAAACATTTCAGTTTTATCTCTAAGATGTCTCATACATATATATAAGAACCAANTGTCATGTCATGTCATGTAATGTCATGTCATGTCACATCATATCATATCATATCATATCATATCAAATCAAATCAGACTGGTCGGGATGTCCTACACGAATTTACTAATTCAAGAATGAAGTGAGGTCTTAAAGGTGTTTTAAAAATACAAATAAAAAGTATTGTTAATGAATCCATGAATAATATCCTTTTAATATTGAAAAGGAAAAGCAACTCTGGCCGTAAAAGGATAGGATTTTTGTAGATTTGTGCGGATCTAATATAAAAATTACAAAAGAAATAATTCTTTTAAAATGTAACAATTCAATAGCTACAAATGCAATACATTCGCGCCTTACTGCATTATTTCACGCTAACAATAAATGAGGAAAAAGATACAAAGTGGAAAATCCAGACGACATTTTTATCATTTTTAACCAGATCAAAGCTTAACATCCTCCCCCCCCTCATTTCAAAGTTGACCAACCTTTACGTGCTGAGTAACATTCTCACTTGCCACCCCGATATTTCCTTGAACAATCTTTACAGGGTCCGTGAGTACGTCCCGGGCCAATATCTCGATCCTCTTCTTGAATGTTGCTGAGAACAGAGAGCACTGACGATCCTGTCGAACGTGGTTGCAGATGGATCGAACCTGAGGTTCGAATCCCATATCGAACATTCTATCCGCCTCATCGAGAACTGGGGAAAAAATGTAAAGCAAAAATCCAAAGATACATATTTATTTAGAATAAGGGGTTAAAAACAACAACATGGAGAAAATGATTTTAGCGGAAGGGTAAAAATCTAAGCTTGTCTCACCTAAGTATGTTACCCGTTCAAAGTTTGTGACTTTCATCTTGATCATATCAATCATCCGACCGGGGGTAGCGATGGCAATCTCGGCTCCGGCCTCGAAACTTTTCCCCTGCTCGTATTTATTCCCTCCTCCGTAAGCGCAGACTACAGAGATGTTGTAAACTTTGCCGTATTTCTTCGCCTCCGAGAATATCTGGAGGGCCAGCTCTCTGGTCGGGGCCAGGATTAGCCCTATTGGACCTTCACCTTTCCTAATATTGAAATCATTACATCTGTTTTATGAAGTCATTAAGTTAAAACTCTGGCTCCGGTTCTTGCTTGTCTGAGCTGTAGATATCTTTAAACCGCTTTTAAAAAGAGTTAAGTAGACAATTTTTATGTTACACATTAAGTAACATTTGAGGCAATTTTCACGGATTTTGCCATTAAGACCTGTTTTTAGATTAATGAGATAAAATATGTAATAGGAAAAGACAATGATGTTTACTAAAGGCATTTTAAATACCTTAACTCTGGTTGATCCATTACATGTACAAGGAGAGGCCACAGAAACGCCGCCGTTTTACCACTTCCGGTTTCCGCTATTCCGATGACATCACGTCCGCTGAGGAGCGTAGGAATCGCCATCGCCTGTATCGAAGACGGTTGGGAGAACTCGCTCTTTCGAATCGATTTCATGAGAACATCATCGAACCCGAAATGCGCAAAACTTGTAACGGGTTTCGGCGGTGAAGGGCCAGACACCTAATAAATAAATTATAAATATTTTGAAAAAGTTAATTTTTCAATCGAATGAATATATATAATACATCTTTAAAGTTTGACAGCAAAAATAGGGTTTTCCTGTCGATATCCCTCATGGTCTCTGCTGCATAAATCAAAATGACTCAAAAAGAAAACGGGATTCAAATAGATTAATTTTCCGATCGTAAAACAAGAACATCTCCGTCATTTATGCTTAGACAAAGGTAGGCCCCGTTGTGCATCCGACATGCAAATTAATTAATAATGTGGGGGGGGGGAGGGGGGCTCAAGTACCCCATTCTACCTTGACATTTAGTTTCTGTTGGAGATCAATAACTTGAATATTGCTGAGTGTTGCTATATCAGGATGCTCTTCGTAGAAATTCTTTTCAAAGGGATGATATTTAATTAGCGAATGATCGATGGCCGCGAGAGGATCCACATTTTTATCCTTCTCCGGAGCTATGGGGTTTCCGTCGGCATCGTAATCGATTAATATCTCATCCTCGTTGTCCTTGGAGGTTCCTGCATTCGGATTCTCTTCCAACCATCTAGATTTTCGTAGATTTTAATATTGAAATAAAAAGAATTCTTTAAACATCTGATTTTTGAAAAAATATTGAACCAAAATTAACAAATCTTAAGCGTTGATCTTGAGCGTCAAAACGGCTAAACCGATCGAGCCATCATTTTTTTAGGCAATTCACATGATCCTGGGGAAATTTCGATTTTTTAGAATTAACAAAAAAAAGGGCAAAAATTAAAAGTTAAAATCAAAGATGGCGCGGATGCCTGGTATTCTCTATTCATGTCACCTGTAATATGATTCTTCATGATCTTCATCATCAATATCCTGGCGAACTCCTTTACTAATATCCTGCATCGGCTTCTTAGCGATCATTCCAGTCTTCAGAACTCTCCGCCCTCCGATATCCTTCTCAGGGAACTTCTTTTCCTCTTTCCGCCCCAGAACCGGTTTTTCCGCCGCACTCACTCCTGAAAAACTAAATTAAGGTTGCTCTTAACTCCGGGATCGTCGGCAATCTGTTTTTTACTCGCAGGGGTATATATTTTTCCAACTGCGTCAAAATAATTTAACAAACTACATAGAGGACTTCAGACGAAAAACACTTACAAAAGCCTTTCGATTTTACAATTAGTTAAAAAATACATTTACCCCTGAAATTACAACCGAAATTTGTCGAAGCAGGATTCTGATATTTTCTATTTTATCAAACTGTCTTGCTTTTTATAGAAGACACAGGAGCTTAAACATAAATTTTTAAGGAAAGGGGGGCCATCCCTGGGACCCACAGCCGACACTTAACCCTTCATTATGCCCCTGACTAGGATCATTTATTTCAAAATTTTATACAAGATTTTTTTTTTGTTAATTTCAAATTTGTTATCTACCTTTATCCTTTGCATTTTTCTCCAGGTCCTTCATATACGCATCCAGGGGATCATCATCATCATCCACTAAAGCAGTCATGTTTTATACTTCAAAAACCAATTATTTTCAGTTTCGGTTTCTTTATAAAAACAGTAACTATGGATTAAGTTGTCACGTGTCGAATTAAGATTAGACTATTGTCAATCTTGAATAAATCAAATTCGTCAAAACTTGGTTTGATCAAAAATCCATTGAAATCACTGTGGGATATGAAACCTTCAATTCAAAAGTTTCCAGCTTAAACATCGATTTATTTCCACCCAAAATACCATATTTTTTTTTGCATACATATAAGAATACTAATGCTAAATCTTTTAATTTGTGACCTGTTTGTTCCCTCTAAACTCTAAACTATTTAATAGTCAAATCTAAAAATTTGTGACATGTTTGTTCCCTCTAAACTATTTAATAGTTAAATCTTTTAATTTGTGACCTGTTTGTTCCCTCAAAACTATAATTTGTGACCTGTTTGTTCCCTCTAAACTATTTAATAGTTAAATCTTTTAATTTGTGACCTGTTTGTTCCCTCAAAACTATTTAATAGTTAAATCTTTTAATTTGTGACCTGTTTGTTCCCTCTAAACTATTTAATAGTTAAATCTTTTAATTTGTGACCTGTTTGTTCCCTCTAAACTATTTAATAGTTAAATCTTTTAATTTGTGACATGTTTGTTCCCTCTAAACTATTTAATAGTTAAATCTTTTAATTTGTGACCTGTTTGTTCCCTCTAAACTATTTAATAGTTAAATCTTTTAATTTATGACCTGTTTGTTCCCTCTAAACTGTTTAATAGCTAAATCTTTTAATTTGTGACCTGTTTGTTCCCTTTAAACTATTTAATAGCTAAATCTTTTAATTTGTCACCTGTTTGTTCCCTCTAAACTGTTTGTTCCCTCAAAACTATTTAATAGTTAAATCTTTTAATTTGTGACCTGTTTGTTCCCTCAAAACTATTTAATAGTTAAATCTTTTAATTTGTGACATGTTTGTTCCCTCTAAACTATTTAATAGTTAAATCTTTTAATTTGTGACCCTTTAAACTGAAAATAAAGATAACCGTTCCTTTAAACTGTAAAATAAAGATAACCGTTCCTTTAAACTGTAAAATAAGAATAACCGTTCCTTTAAACTGTAAAATAAAGATAACCGTTCCTTTAAACTGTTAAATAAAGATAACCGTTCCTTTAAACTGTAAAATAAAGATAACCGTCCCTTTAAACTGTAAAATAAAGATAACCGTCCCTTTAAACTGTAAAATAAAGATAACCGTCCCTTTAAACTGTAAGATAAAGATAACCGTCCCTTAAACTGTAAAATAAATATACTTACAATCCTGGTTTCCTGCTCCCGGACTGCCAGGTTTAGGTTGGTAAGCTGCTGGCTCCTCCTCCTCATCAGAGTTGAAATATTCATCTTCAGTCCTGGCTTTCTTTATCGCTACTCCGTACTGAGCTGAAACAGATGGGAATTTATTTATGATTGAGAAGAAGCTAAACTAGTTTTAGGTCTGGCTTAACTACTTAACAGTCGCAACTGCTTCAACACATTGTCAGATTGTTTAACCTCCTATTCCTTCAAGGGACATTAAGCACATTGTCAGATTGTTTAACCTCCTATTCCTTCTAGAGACATTAAGCACATTGTCAGATTGTTTAACCTCCTATTCCTTCAAGAGACATTAAGCACATTGTCACGATTGTTTAACCTCCTATTCCTTCTAGAGACATTAAGGTTGTAGAAATACAAACTTAGTGCCTTTTACAGCACATACGCTTGAACCAGTAGTAACTGTATGTTTAAAGTAAACTGGATTCAGAAATTTCTTATCAGTGTTAATAAAAAAATTAAAGGAACTAATTCTCTAATCCCCATATCTTTGTAACCCATTGGTGCAACCTGTGATATTTCAAACTTTTACTTTTTGATCTAGCCGAGTTCTTCCTTCGAAATATCAGACATACGCCATCAGGTTACAAAGATAAAAGATCTACAAGTTAGATTGTAAGGTGACAATTTAGGTCCTTTACCAAGCTAGATTATAATTGGCGTTACCCCCCCCCTCCCCGAAAAAAAATCCCACTCTTTTTGCTAATGTTTGCAAGATATACTTACAATAAGAAAGAGAAGCGTCCGAGATAGATGACATTGTAGAATATCCTTGCTTGCTCACCACTATAGAATATAAAACTCAGTTTTTAATCAACCTTCTCTCAATTTCGTTCTGTTACGATTTGGAACTAGATTTAACCCGAAATTGAATATATTTTCTATTCTTCCATTCAAAAAGCATTTGAATTAATAACATCACATTTTACAATATCTTCAAGGTTTAGTTGTGATCACGCCTCCACCCCCACCCCACTTAGTTAATTCTAACAAAGATTATTTAAGGGATAGTCAAGATTTCTGGGAAGTTAATATCCAAGTCGAACGGTTCTTTATCAAGACTAAGTTAGTTCCTAACGGAGCACTGGTAACTCCTCCAGGTACTCCTCCGATCTTGGGAATAACCCTGGGTCTGCTTGAACTATCCAGGTTCGGAGGCGGAGGAATCTCAGCTCCTCTGAATAAAGAATGGTTCACTAGTATTATCTAGGTTCGGAGGAATCTCAGCTCCTCTAAATATAGATTGATTTACTAGTATTATCCAGGTTCGGAGGAATCTTAGCTACTCTGAATATCGATTGGTTCACTAGTATTATCCAGGTTTGGAGGGATCTTAGCTTAATTAATTATAATTTCTGAAATATAATAGGACGGTCGCGATATAATTTTGATATACTTTGCTAAAAAATATTTCGAAATAGGCCGAGATTGTATAATAAGATTTAATCGGATGACAAAGATTAAAATTTTACACAACACATCATTTTGTTAACATTTCAATATTATTAAAAGAACTTATACTTTGCTTGACTGTCTTTTTATTTTTGTATCCAATAGACGTCAAAACGACTGAACCGATCAGGCCCAAATTATTTGTAGTACCTCAAGTGACTATGGGGAGGTTTATGGATGATCGAATTTTCAAAAATTTGCCTTTAACAAAATTCGATATTTAAAAGTTAGAAAATCCATGAATTTATTATTTATAAACTCAGCGATTGTTTTTTCTTTTCACAATGTATACAAAGAGAAAATGTTCATGATTGAAATAGAAGATGGACTCGAAGCGCCTTAAATGCACAGTATGTAATGAAAGAGCTTACTAAGTTGTTAGCGCATTTGGTGGACACGAAATAACAGGCTGCTCTGTTTTTAACTCGTTAGGCATATTTCGATAATTTTTTCGACAAATCCATTTCGATTTTAGAAACCATGTTTTATGCAGAGCTGAAAACTTTGGAATGATATATCCTTAATCACGATCGGTTAATTAAGCTGGAGATTAATAACAAGAGTAGAACAAGCATTATTTAATCTTGAGATTAAGAAAAAGAGTGGATCAAGCATTAATCCTGATATCCACCATTCTAAAGTTTCCAGCTCTGGAGATTAACGAAAGGGGAACAAGCATTATTTAATCTTGAGATTAAGAAAAAGAGTAGATTAACCATTAATCCCGATATCAACTATTCAAGAGTTCCCAGCTCATGTTATATATAAAAAATAAACCAATTAATTGCCTCGGTCAGACAGGATTCAGGTAGTAGACGTTCACTTCAACAAATTCGGATTCTTAAAACTTACTGTACTGTACTGTACTGTACTATACTGTACTGTACTGTACTGTACTGTACTGTACCGTGTATTCAATGCACAGTGTACAGTGTACATAATACCCTTACCATACCTATATGCTTTATTCTCCACCCCTTCATTGGCAGAAACAAAGTTCCCGTAAAGGCCTCCACCGCCTCTTCGTTTCATTTTGTTTCTGAAACCGATTAAAGATTGCAATAAAACACCTAAACCGTTCCACAATCTTTGGTTTATTTATCCCGAAAAAAAAATAAAGAAGCCGTGAAATAAACCTAACATTTTGTATAGATAAATCAGAAGCGGCAAAAAGGGATTGTAATTTTTCAAATATAATCATTGTTTTTTAACAATAAAATATAAAATGTTGAATATAAATAAAAAGTGCTACTTTAATTCATGAATGTAGGGCGTAGGTCTAGGACACATAATTTTACAATACTTAATATATTATTACAAGGTTTAAAATGCATATATGTGTGTATAAAAACAGAGTGGCCGAAGAATAGTGCACAGTTCCCTATAGTTTGGTCGCGAATAAAACCGGGTTAAAAATAATAAAAAAATGTTTAAGTGATATTTAAACGGGTAAGGCCCATCCAGGCTTGTTAGAACTACTATTACATTTTTTTACACATACTGGAACACATTTTGTTATATGTAAAAGGAAAATATTTCTAAAACTCCAAAAAAAGGACATTGTACATTAACTATAAGTACCACTGGCTTGTTTGAAAAATCAAAATCAAATTAATAAAATTATTATAACTAAAAAATGTGGTGGACACTTTCAGGTGTTTGTCATGAAATTGAGAATAGGGTGATAAAGTGTTGTAATATATATCATTGATTGGAGCAGCAGATCTGATCTACATTATGTAAAATTTATCATATTACAATATCACTAAATAAAATAATAACTCTTGATACCCCTCGGAAAAGTAAAGCGAAGCACTGAAAATATTGTCTCCGGAGCGTTCAGTCCCAGAGGTTTAAGAGTTTAAACCCAGAGCGTGGAATATCTTGGTTTTAATCCCCGGAGTATCTCCGTCGTCGTAGTGAACTGAATCTGTAAGAGATTCCTTGGATCCTCTAGTTCTCCGCTCCTTGGAGGAAGATCGAACCTTATCCCCCCGCGAGGATGACCTCCCGGCCTTTACTACATCTAAAGCTTCCTTACGTGACCTCAGCGCACAATCTTCCAAGGTCTCAGCGGCCTCGTATTTACCCTGGCGCCTGTATAATGCACCGAGGTTTTTCAACGTTGTGGTGACCGTTGGACTGTCAACCTTGGCGGCCTTATGCCAGCCTCCATATTCTCCGTAGGACGGTGGAATACCGTCCTTTCGATTCTTATTTTCCTCGCGATCTTCAGCTATTTGCCAGATAGGTTTGTTCTTCTCATCGATGCTTCCAAACTCCTTTTCATGAGCTCGGGTTAAAACCTGTTTGTATAAGATCTCTGCTTCCTTATATTTACCCTGAAACATTTAGAATTATAGCCTTCATAAATTTTTCTTGTTTTATAGAAATCCCGCCCAAATTTATCCAGATCTTAGATCCGTTCCGGGGACAAATGGAATTATATAAACATATAAATCACAAGAAAATTTCACTCCATCTCCTCACTCCTCCTTCATAAATATAAGAAAATCGCAAATAAAAAATAATTTTTGAAATTACCGAATTAAATTTACCTGCTTTAAATAAGCCGATGCTAAATTATTTTTAGTTTTTGCAACATTAGGATCATCTTGACCAAGCTTGGACTCGTATATCTCCAGAGCTCGCTGGTAGTATTTCTCAACCTCCTCATACTTCCCCTGGTTCTGGCAGAGAAGCGCCAAGTTGTTCAACTGTTTCGCTACGTCGGGGTGGTCGCTGCCGAGAGTTTTTTCGCGGATTTCTAGAGCACGCTTGCACAGCGGTTCTGCGTCCTTGTATTTCCCGCGTTTCCCGTACAAGACGGCGAGGTTGTTAAGAGTGGCAGCAACAGCGGGATGGTTTTCTCCCAACGTTTTCTGACGGATTGTCAAAGCATCGTTCAACAGGTTTGCAGCTTCTTTATATTTGTTTTGATCCCTAAAAATGATATAATTGAAATTTTTATACATATTTAAACGCTTGCATAGACTGAAGTTTTAATTTCAAGTGACACAGCATACAAAGGTGGCAAAGCCCGATTCACAACGATACCCTTAAAAGCTTTGTCTGATCATGTATGAATTATATATCAATATTTATAATTATGAAAACTAATTATTTTCATTTGTGGTTTCTCTACGCACATTTCTACTGCAGGAAACATCTCTAGAAATTATCAGATATTAACACTATCTTGAACAAAATCGATCAGATAAAGGTTTCAAAGATACCGTTGTAAATCGGACATTGCGATCTTTGCATGGAGGGTCGCTTAAATTCACGCTTACAACTTGTTTAAAGGCAGCTTAAGTATTGAAAACATCATTGTTTATTTGTTTTGAAGTATATATCATATATACTATACAGGACTGGGGGAGGAGCGTACAAGTGTTCTCTTTTAAAATAAATCAATCCTCGTCAATAATGATAATAATAACTATTTATAACACTGTTATTTTGGTTCACAGTGTTATAAAGTTTTTGGACAGAAAGTTTCTCTTTATCGAGAAGGGTCTCGACTTTTTAAATTAAATTTTGTCCCGAGCTTTAGCAAGGGACAAAATATAATCCAAAAAGACGAGAACCTTCAAGATTTAGAGAAAATTTAATTCCAAAATCTTTTAAGCACGTAGTGCCAAAATAAAAGTGAAATAGGTAATTTTATGAAATGTTTGTGAAATTGTCTTATTTCAATGGCTGTTCCTAGATCAAATAAGCTTTGAAACAAAGCAGAAGTCAAAATGTAAAGTTGATTTCAATTTTACTTTCATTTTAAATGGAAACAATATTTTGGAACTATCCTTAATTATTTGGAGAAAATCCGAGAATCAATCAAAACATTATAGCACACGTGCTATAATGTACAGCTAATTTAACATTATAGCACTGTGGAAGACGATGCCTGGCCGGGTTAAACAAGTTCCACAAGATTCAACAGAATGAGATAGAACGAATACGGGGCATAGTACTGATAAACATCTACACGTGTGATCTCAATATAAACTATTATTCTGAACCCTCTAGTAATAAGTTATAAGAAATATATACACTGGAAGTTATTTATGCGTTTTCATTAGAGTCTGACTCACGTCCTCTATAGCACGATGATTACTTTATAGCACGTTCACTATGAAATTCCCGATGAAGTGAGTAATAGTGATAAAGTACACTACAGTTTTTATAAAACCTTTTACAATTTTTATCTCTTGTAAAAGCATATACTATAAAAAACATCGATACAATATAATACAAACAATTCTGAAGTGATGTTTCGTGATGTTTTGAAGTACTGCTTTGCGCTCTTAAACCATCTAAGCAAAGATGGCAATGCCCGATTTACGATACCCTTGAAACCTTGATCTGATCAAAAATATTAAAGAAACCGAAAAAATGATTATTTCTGCGAGTTCCTCGGTTGCTTCTTTTTTCTTTTTATATTTAATCAAAAATAGGTTTCAAGGGTACCGTTGTAAATCGGACATTGCCATCTTTGCAAGGAGGGTGCCTTAAACATTACACCCAGGTCATAGACCGGGGTGGAAGTTGCCTTCAATTCACTAACTTCAGCCCTGCGGGCCGAAGGGATGTGTGAGGAGTTCACCCTTTGTGAATTATGAGGGGGGGGGAGGAGGCGGGCTTGCATACCTGTATACAAGAGCAAGTGAGGGGGGGGAGGAGGCGGGCTTGCATACCTGTATACAAGAGCAAGTGAGGGGGGGGGAGGAGGCGGGCTTGCATACCTGTATACAAGAGCAAGTGAGGGGGGGGGGAGGAGGCGGGCTTGCATACCTGTATACAAGAGCAAGTGAGGGGGGGGGGAGGAGGCGGGCTTGCATACCTGTATACAAGAGCAAGTATGTTAAGCATAGTTGCAACATCAGGATGATCATGTCCACTCGTCTTCTCCAGGTCCTCTAGAGCTTGCTTACACAGAGGAACCGCAACCTCGTATCGTCCTGGTACAAGAAGAAACATCGTTTTAACAGATACATTCTTTATTTTTTGAAAATATTTCTCGAAACTTAAGGGGAATAATGGCGACAATGAGCAACAGTTTTATTCAATACTAGCTTAGGAACACAGCTTTGACTGCAAACCAAACCTTCTCTTTTAAAGCCAACAAGCTAAGAACATTTCCGTGGGTCCTACCGAGTTCCCCAATCAAAATTTGAGGCAAACCGGTCAAAAGGTTCAAAAATTATGATCGGACATCCAAACCAACAGAGATTACTACTATATTTATAGAAATGATATTTCAGTTTATCAGTACACTGGTTACAGGGTTAAATAGTATGTTCTGAACATATTTCAAAATTATTCTCCAAGATTTGGGAAAATATTTAAAAACTCTTTGGGTTAAGAAAATGTTTTTTGTCATAATTATAATATGTACGATGTAAATTGTAAGGTACATGTTGTGTACAATTGAATACCTTGACTTGCGTACTGTATGACAAGGTTGTGAAGGGTTCTAAGCCGGGCCGGTATCTCGTACCCAGCATTGGCCGGGAATGCGTACTGAGTGGACGGTGTAGGAGATTGACCACCACGCTCATCATCCCCATCATCTTGGAACAGTTCAGCTACTGTGTCCTGCAATACACATCGTTCAGATTAAATATATTTTTCTCAGATTAGAGTACAGTTGAGACTAGGGTTCCCCAAGGTTCTGTGCTCGGCCCTTTAATTTTGTAATTTTTATCAAGTGTTGTAGATTAGGGCTATTTAACAACTCCAGAAATTTGCATTACTAATAGAAATGATTTTTTTGTAAAGAATCAATAAGTTCACTACTAACTTATATCTAGGATAACCGTTCACCAACCATTACAGTTAGACATAACGTCGCAGAATTTAAAACCGCTAATTGCATCTAATTAAAACACATTAATGAATTCTCTAACTTATGACTTTTATCCTATATCATCATTTTAAACCAGTTTCAACAAAAATAAATACATAAAAATAAATAAAGTTTTTTGTTGATGAAGTCCTGACTTTGTTGAGATTTGTGTAATTTTTTTTTTGTAGTTCCATCGATACAATTTCTGGAGTTAAAAAGTGAGAACTAGTTTTAAGATTAATTTCAGTTTATTGCCTCAGTGAATAAGCAAATCGGCCACACCCTCATAGGGCTTAAAAATTCAAGCGTTTTCACAATTCAAACTGAAGGCTAAACAGGGATATTTTGTCAGACATATTTAATGAGTTCTCACCAATTGCCTCTAGTACTTTCGACTCCATGGGGAGGATGTGTTTGTGCGGGGAGGGACCTACGCGTTTTTACAGAATTAAATCGACTCCCAATTTTAACAAACTACTCCACCTAACTATGTAAGAACTAGCACAATTATAGGTCAGAAAAACCTTAAGGTTAGATGAGCGAGTACGGTTCCATGTTCTATAATTTGCAACCAGAACTTAACTTTACAAGAATTATGAATTTCTATTGATTATGTATCATTAGATTTCTACCTTAGATGTGTCCATCGTAGTGCTAGCTATACTGGTCGACATGTCCACCGAACCCTCCTCTCCAGCAATATCAGAATCATATTTCTTGATGGAATTCATGAATTCAAGATGCTTCTTGTCCTCCTCCAGCTGGGCGGAGGTTTGCTCACTTGTCTGAAGCTTCTGCTGTGTAGAGGCCAGTTCGTCACGTAGCCAGGCATTCTCTTGGCATAATCTTTTCACCTACAAGATTCAAATTTTATAATTAAAATAATTTCTTAATACCGAGAGAACCAGAAAAATATGAAATAATAGGAACTCGACTTAAAGCAACTAAAGTGTATTTAATGTTGTTAAAAAGCAAATGCACTTACTAGCAAGTTGTAAATCACTTGTTAATTGTGAAATGGGTCTGTTTATACTGCATAATTTCTGTGTTTCTTCTTCTTTGGACTATTCAAAGTCATAAATTGAGTCTAAATGTAGTCTACCTATTCCAGAGCTTTCTGGTTCTCACTGTAAATTAAACTGCATGTATTTATGTATGTATTTACGTATGTCACACTTTATTGCGTCCTCAAGACAGTACACTGCAATATAACTACCAATCCAATTCCTTTTAGTATTAGAAGGTCCCCACTTTGATATAAATATACATATTTAAATTAACATTTCCTCAATTTTAAAGAAAATTCGCAAAAATATTGATAATAGAGACGAAGGTCCTCGATCTTCCCGAGATTGTGGAAAAGGGTGTGCATCTGATCCCTGGTGGCCTGCGGCGCGATGTTGGTTACCTGGATAACCTTGGTGCTCCCGTAGTCTGCCATTCTGAGTCCTAGAGAAAAGAGGATAATGTTGATCAAGTTTACAGGATGAAAAGAGGATAATGTTGAGAACTCAAGTTTACAGGATGAAAAGAGGATAATGTTGAGAACTCAAGTTTACAGGATGAAAGGAGGATAATATAGACCCCCCCTCAGTTAACGCCCTGTGTGAGTTTCTCTTCAGTTAAAAAAAATACCAACAGTTAAGAGAATTTGTGAGAAAATGTTGAAATAAACTTGTGTTTTTATAATATTGAAAAGGTCAGCTTAGAACTAATTTTCTGCAATAAACACAACTAGATGTTCTACGTTATGTATTTCAACCACTGAAAGTCAAACACACAGCTATAACCGAAAGCAGATACACAAGAGACCAGATTTAATGAATATCCAAACATAGTTGAAACGGTAGCCTTGGTTGAATTTTTCTTTTACTTAACTCGTCGTCCAAGATATGAATTTGAACTTAGTCAATGGAGTTCAAGTATATCTTATTTTGCTTTACACTTTTGTGATTGTTTACAATAAAACTAGTGATTAATTTGTTCAATTTTGAGGGATTATATCACATATTTCCTGCTGAAGGGCGATAAAGTGATTTTATTGCTCTACAACAGAGCGATAAAAAAAACTTTATCGTGACCTGCTGATAAATAAATTCAGTAAATTTGAATAAAACTATATTTGTGATTGTAATATCCCATTAAAATAACATAAATGGTTATTATTATAAAAAACCGAAAAAAATATATACTACCTGACGAATAAAAAATAATATTTTTAAGGTATTAATTAAAAAAGAAAGTGATAATCTTTCTAATATGTCACCTGTGATCTAAGCTTTTGTTTATCTGCTTCAACAGCCTGAAGATGACCAGCTAGAGCAGCCATAACATGAGCTTCTCCTAGTCCAAGCTCAATCATTTCTAGGGAGCGTTCCATTAGGGAGCATTTCTCCTGGATCAAACTATTCTCTGCTCCAAGATCAGTGTGCTCCAGGGAGGATTTAATTCCACCAAGAATAGATTCATGTTCCTGGCGGAGAGCCTCAAGTCCTTTGGTTACGGTTTTAGCGTTAGAAACGATTTCATCTTGAGAAATCATGGTCATCTTGAACTATATAATCTCACTGCTTGTGACACACTAAATCATTTTATAAAACCTGAAAAAAATAAGTGATCAGTGAATATTGACTTTCTTTGTATTAGACGGAATGAAGCATTAAATACTAAATAGTGCAAAGTTGTTCTTTTTAGAATTCAAATTGAGGAAGTAAACCTAAAGAATCGAAGCGTAAGGTTTAAGTAATACTAAGAAATACGGAACATCTGATAGTTCTAGTTCCCTGCACTTTGATTTTATAATTAATTGCTCAAAAGATCTTATCTCTTCCACAAAATAACGAATTAAAAACTAATATATTCTGCAAGTGTAAACTATAAACTAGTTTTAACTGTTTAGAATAACTTAAAAGCGTTAACATTAATTAAAAGTGGTTTAAAGCTTGGGAATCAAGGTTTCAGGGTTGAGCGGCTTCAAGTTCTCATCCGCTGTCCTAGGAGTGTAGTCTGACTCAGACTGTCAACCAATGAGAGAAAGGTAAGGTAGCCATTCATATGTAGAAGACGACATCTCCCAGAATAAAGGGATTGGTCGCATTTTTCGGAGAAATTAAAGGAGGTTTTACAAGAACTGAAGGAAGATTATTTGACTGACTGAAGATGAGAAGAATAATAATATAGAGAATTAAAGTTTACAGGCATGGATAGCTGTTTGACTATACCGTTTTAACTATTGTTAATTTGAATTTTATACTGTACGTCATCCTGAAATTCAAATCGTACGTCATACAAATTGTTCATTTGAACTATATTTTCCATCAATTCAGTTTTGCTATAATTCATAGTTTAAATAAATTAAAAATTAGTTCAAATGAACCAAAAATTAGTTCAAATGAACCAAAACTTAGTTCAAATGAACAAAAAAAATAGCTCAAATGAGCATGAAATAAACTTGTCTGAACTGTTGTTTGTTTAAACGTGGTTCAACCGGTCAATTATAGTTGAAATGAACAAAACGGGAGTAATTCAAGCAGGATAGCATCAATCAGTTTACAGGATGAAAGAAGAAAAGCATTTAGAAAGAACTCAAGTTTACAAGATGAAAGAAGGATAATACAGTGAACTCAAGTTTACAGGATGAAAAGATGATAATATAGAGAACTCAAGTTTACAGGATGAAAGAAGGATAATACAGTAAACTCAAGTTTACGGGATGAAAAAAGGATAATATAGAGAACTCACTTTACAGGATGAAAGAAGGATAATGTTGAGAACTCAAGTTTACAGGATGAAAGAAGGATAATGTTGAGAACACACGTTTACAGGATGAAAAGAGGGTAAAATAGAGAACTCAAGTTTACAGGATGAAAGAAGGATAATACAGTGAACTCAAGCTTACAGGATGAAAAGAGGATAATATAGAGAACTCAAGTTTACAGGATGAAAGAAGGATAATATAGAGACCTCAAGTTTACAGGATGAAAATAGGATAATGTTGAGAACTCAAGTTTACAGGATGAAAGAAGGATAATGTTGAGAACTCAAGTTTACAGGATGAAAAGAGGATAATGTTGAGAACTCAAGTTTACAGGATGAAAGAAGGATAATGTTGAGAACTCAAGTTTACAGGATGAAAGAAGGATAATGTTGCGCACTTAAGCTTATGGGATGAAAGTAGGATAACAGGTTAACAGGATGAAAAGAGGAAAATGTTGAGAACTCAAGTTTATGGGATGAGAAGAGGATAATGTTGAGAACTCAAGTTTACAGGATGAAAGAAACAGGTTAACAGGATGAAAAGAGGAAAATGTTGAGAACTCAAGTTTATGGGATGAGAAGAGGATAATGTTGAGAACTCAAGTTTACAGGATGAAAGATGGATAATATATAGAGAACTCAAGTTTACAGGATGAAAGTAGGATAATGTTGAGAACTCAAGTTTACAGGATGAAATGAGGATAATGTAGAGAACTCAAGTTTACAGGATGAAATGAGGATAATATAGAGAACTCAAGTTTACGGGATGAAAGAAGGATAATGTTGAGAACTCAAGTTTACGGAATGAAAAGAGGATAATGTTGAAAACTCTAACAGGATGAAAAGAGGATAATGTCGAGCACTCAAGTTTACAGGACGAAAGAAGGATAATGTTGAGAACTCAAGTTTACGGGATGAAAAGAGGATAATGTTGAAAACTCTAACAGGATGAAAAGAGGATAATGTCGAACACTCAAGTTTACAGGACGAAAGAAGGATATTATATAGAGAACTCAAGTTTACGGAATGAAAAGAGGATAATGTTGATTCAAGTTTACAGGATGAAAAGAGGATAATGTTGAGAACTTAAGTTTACGGGATGAAAGAAGGATAATGTTGAGAACTCAAGTTTACGGGATGAAAAGAGGATAATGTTGAGAACTCAAGTTTATGGGATGAAAAGAGGATAATGTTGAGAACTCAAGTTTACAGGATGAAAAGGGGATAATGGTGAGAACTCAAGTTTACAGGATGAAAAGAGGATAATTGTGAGAATTTTAGTTTACAGGATGAGAGGAGGATAATAACAACAGTCATATCTATCACAGCCAATGCCGACAAATTCTTTTGGTTAAACTTAACTAAAAGATCATGAAACTTTCATGTCTAAAATGATTATTGTTTCAACTTAAAATTGCCCCTAATACTTCTTTTCTATTATTTTAATCCAACTTCTCTATTCTCTCAATTCTCCTTAAATAGCCAACAAAAACGAGGAGAGTATAATATCTTGAAAATCTCTTCTCCCCGGCTCCAATAAATAAGGAATTGTTAGGGTTTTATTATAGCTGAAAATTTGAGGAAAGATTTCAGTATTTAAAGGGGGGGGGGGCTTGCCAATTTATGTCCACAACCCCCCCCCCCCTGGAATTGTAAAAAATGGAACCTTACAAAATATAAACTAGCAATAATAACTACAAGATTAAAACTCGTCAGGAGAAAAGTGTGCTAGATTTTTATTAATTTTCAAGAAAACAGTTTTCAACACGTATTAAGAAATATACCCTTAAGTGATCAAGCTTGAGAATGAAATCCTAAACCGGAGGAGTCAGTGGTATCAAAGGTCCTGAAAATAAAGAAAAACTCCCGAAAATCTCTTGATACAGTACTTTCTCCGTCAACCAGAAACTGAAAGCAAAAAGCTTCTCTCATGATCAAAGATGGTTTGAAATGGTAAAAAGAAAACAAGTCCATGGATAATTAAACCCACCAATATTTACATCCGGATAATAATCACGATTAGAGTTCCAGGATCCTTGCTCTCGTCCCAAAGAACAGACACTGTAAGCAAAAGAATTAAAAGATCACTTATAGATTAGATTTCATAGTTTCTCCTCAAGCTAGGGGTTCCATCCCTCTCAGAACTCTGCTCCGTGTATCTGAACATCACAAAATAAAACGATTACTTTATTATTTAGAAATTAAAGAGAACTAAGGAGAATTCGAAATCTCCATGTCCACAGGTCCAGTCTTCTCCTCCTTTATACCCTTGCTCTCGAACCCAGCCTCCTCGGCGTCGTAGTCCCTCGTGATCTTGTCCTTCTTACCATCCTTCTCCTCACTTCCTCGTCTACTTTTCTTGCTCTTTTTACTCCTGTTATCCCTGGACCTAGATCTGGACTTCTTTCTACGATCCCTGGACTTACTTCGGCTCCTGCGACGAGATCTGGATCTTTTCTTTCGGTCTCTGGACCGAGATCTACGATCTCTGGACCGTGATCGTCGGGACGATCTTTTCTTAGAGCGAGACCTAGATCTCCTTCTGGACCGGGATCGTTTTCTTTCCCTGGACCTGGAGCGTTTCTTTTCTTTAGTCTTACTCCGGGATCTTGATCTTTTCTCTTCTTTAACTTTCCCATTCTCTGTAGGTACAGGTTTCTCATCCTTGACTCCATTCTCTCTGTTCTCCTCTTTGTCAGGATCTGATTTCACCTTGGTCTCGCTTCCTTCCTTCTTCTTGTCTTTATCGTCCGATCTCTTCTTATCTCTAGACCTAGATCTTTTCCTTGATCTGGAACGCTTCCTAGATCTTGACCTTTTCCGCCTCGACGACCTTGACCGAGAACGCCTTCTCCTAGATCTAGACCGTCTTCTACTGCTGTACCTATCTCTGGACCTAGACCTGGAGCGTCTTCTGTACGGAGATCTGGTCCGAGATCTTGTCATCCGGCCTCCCTTTACTCCCAACCACTCCTTTAGAGGGTTAACAGCGTCGCTGACAAGGTTCTGAGCTTCTTTGACCTTCTTCATTGCCTCCTCTATCTCACGTAAAGCAGCTTCGTTACTTTTAGTTTGTGGTTTATTAATGGCTTGAGTCGCATAGAAAACTTTAATCATGGATTCACCCACCACAGTATCATTTAAACGCATGGCAGGGATCACTGCGCCATAGTCCGTGAACTCAATGAGAGCCATTTTCCGATCATCTCCCTCTTTTGTGCACCATCGGAAATATTTCACCTCACCAGCACCCTTACCAAAGTATTCAATGACAGCTTGGGCTGATAAAGTTGGGTCTATTCCGATCACTGTAATGGTTCGGCGGATTTCCTCAATCACCTTGGCATCAATTCCGGCAGGTAAATCCGGAAAATCCGGTAAACCGGAATCTGCCAAGTTCGGATCAACTGTTTTAAGTTTATCTCCCTCTGTGACATTAGTTACATGCGAGGGCAGCGCCGGTTCTCCTTTGTTCTGAGAGGAGTTCGCGAACTCTAGCCCAGACCATTCATCAGGCAAATCACCGTTCACAAACGGTTGAACAATGATGGCACGGTCGATAAAGACTGTGTTCGTCATATGCAGAGCAAGTGGTAGGCTCTCCGCCTCCATAAATTTGATGAAACTACAACGAGACTGGATTTGTACTGACGCATCTCTGATGGAGGGATAGAGACGAAGGTCCTCGATCTTCCCGAGATTGTGGAAAAGGGTGTGCATCTGATCCCTGGTGGCCTGCGGCGCGATGTTGGTTACCTGGATAACCTTGGTGCTCCCGTAGTCTGCCATTCTGAGTCCTAGAGAAAATATAAATATATTTTTAGACGTAAAATTCAGAATTACAACCAAAAGAATAACAAAAACTATTTCTTTAACTGGGCCCCTTCAAATATTTTCGTATGTTCAGACATTTAAACTCAATTCATCTGTTGCCTATTTAAAAGTTCACAATCATACAATCATGGCTCGTATTCAAACACGTTTAAACGAGTTCGGTTTGATACAATTATGTCTGATCATAACTCAGAAGCCCTTAAGTTGCCTCAAATTTTGATCCAATCATAACTCAGGAAACCCTTGATAGATTTGCCTCAAATTTTGATTGTAACTCTGTAGAACCCAGGGAATGTTCTTGTCTAGGTTAAGTTCTTAAGTCATTTCCTAGAGAAGGAATATTTTGAACCCTCCTTCNTTCTTAGCTCGTAAATGTATGAAAACAATTCAAAATTTGAAAAACATGGCCGCAGCTAGCCGGGTTCTGAAGCAAACGTTGTGGAGGAGGAGGGGGGTCGGGGGAGGTGGTGAGGGGGGAGGAGGGCAGAAAACGTCATGTCCGTTCACGACTCCGTAGAGTCCGGGAAAGGAACATACAAACAGACATTTTCCGGAAATGATCAATATTTGCGTTTTTTAATGGTTATCTTTTTTTTAAATTGAATTCAAATCGTATTAGTGAAAAATCTAAAAATTTAGAGTCCATAAAAACAATTTAACAGATTGGCAGTGACACATATGTTTTTATTTTTGTGCGAACACCCCACCACAAGAATTTTAGAAGACTTTTAATAAAAATAATTTAAAGATGCATTTATATTAAATCAACTAGTGAGAATTAGCCTTTCTTAATTAAAAAAAAAATTAAAAAGACACATTTCTTTAAAAGTACGGTTCTACGTAGTTTTAAAGATCGTCTTCAAGAAATGTCTGCAGATTTGTTCCCTACTCGAGCAGTTTCAGAATGCGGTTTGCCGCGGCGGATTTTCACATCACTCTTCAGATTTTGAGACAAACACGTGTGAAACAGTTCTCCTAAGTTTATTCTACTTAAATTTTAGCCAATATGTGAACGTAATTTATTGTTTGAATGTTATGCTAATTGTGTTTATTTGTTTTGTCCAGCTTTAGTTTTGGAGCGCTGAAAATTTGATGTAACAATTCCCTTGTTTCAGAAGACTGCCTCAAGATGGTTCGGATGAACTCACTTGCTGATGCACTTAGATGCATCAACAATGCAGAGAAGAGAGGAAAGCGCCAGGTAAGATAATGCGGTAATCAAACTATTTAGAATTAGTTCTTTTATTATTTTAGCCCATATTTCGAATTATTAGTTCAATCTCTTGTCAATTACAATCTGGTCAATAATCCCCTCCCCGTCAATTCTAGATATTGGAATTTTAGCATTGTTCCGTAAGCAATGATCAGAATGTTCTCATTTATCTTCCTCTACGCAGATTTCTTTTAATTTTTTAACCACTTTAGTGTCACATTTATCCGGGGTTTGCTTCTAGGTTCTCCTGAGACCCTGCTCCAAGGTCGTTATCAGGTTCCTCACCGTCATGATGAAGCACGGTTACATCGGAGAGTTTGAGGTCGTAGACGATCATCGTGCCGGAAAGATTGTTGTCAACCTAACTGGAAGACTTAATAAGTGCGGAGTCATTTCTCCCAGGTTAGTGTCCGCAAATTTTTAGATCATTTTTTAAATGATGTTCAACTTACTTTCGTTCTCCTGACTCCGGATGATAAACTGATTCTGATTATTTCCGATTTTTAATATCAAATCAGATTTTCGTTCTTTCTTAATTATTTTTTTTTTTAGATTTGATATCGGAATCAAAGATATTGAGAAGTGGACAAACAACCTACTTCCCTCCAGGCAGTTCGGATACGTCGTCCTGACAACCTCCGGAGGCATCATGGACCACGAGGAGGCCAGGAGGAAGCACCTCGGAGGAAAGATCTTGGGATTCTTCTTCTAAACAAATTCCGTTACGTAAATCATCTTGAAAACACCACTTCAATGAACTGCGGTTGAACTTCTTCTGCTTTCAGAAAAAATGGGTCACGACGCTATCTGGTTCTCCCGACCTCGCAAATACGGACAAGGGTCCCGTCACTGCAGAGCCTGCAGCAATAAGCACGGTCTCATCAGGTCAGCTTTTGTATTGATTGCTTTGACAAGTTAGATACGAAAGGATTGATTGCTTGAACTATTTCGTGTTTTGTTTATTTTAAGAATTTGTACAACTTTTGATATTTAATAAAGTGAAGTATATTTAAGGCCCATCTAAGTTGTTAAATCGGCGTATTTTCTTTTTCCTTTCCTACAATTTAAGTTTTACTTTGTTAGTGTTTCGATCCATAACTTTACTACTCCCTGTTTACAATTATCGCTTTGCAATGCAAATATAATACGTTCTTGTAGTTGGGGTTTGTTTTGGTACTTACACAAATTAGCACTGGAGGGGAAGGGGGGGGGAATATGAAAAAAATACATATGTTCTGATCACAAACTTTGTATCAACATTGTGTATGATGTTATTATACTTTCGTTCTCCTGACTCCGGATGAAAACTGTTTTCTGATATAAAAAATATTCTATAATCTATGAATATGCGAATTTAAAAATTAATTTTTGTTTTTGTTTAGGAAGTACCATCTGAACATGTGCCGTCAGTGCTTCAGGGAGTACTCTGCCGATATTGGATTCAAGAAGTTGGACTAGATCCTGGAATAGCAACCATGCTGTTGTAATTAACTTCTAAATCTTACAGATAAAATGACTGAGTTCGACGAGATGGAGGAGGCGTACTCAGACTCGGAGCAGGATACTGATGACGAGGTAATGTTAAATTCACTCTAACTCTTGATGTCGGATTTACCGAATCGGAATTGAAGTTGAACAAGNGGTTGATCGTATACATATTAACCAATCAAACATTTTCAGTTTTTCTTTATTATCCTTTCATTGTTGTAAAATCTGACAAATTTTTTGTGCTATAGAAAGTAAATTTTAAGAGTTACCTTGACTAGGAAATTAAGTTAAACCATTTTCTGTCATTTTAATTAATTACTCAGTAAATACTATAAATGCATTTCTTTAGTTAAAAGAAGCATTTGCCTCCGGTCTGTTGAAGCCCGGGATGAACCTAATGGGGGAACAGGTCGTGAGAGCTCCGCCTAAAAATAATATTCCTGCTCTACAACAAAAACTAGTGGATCTCAAGAAAAATTTACCTTGGGTGAGTAAATGTTCCTTTTGAGTCAAAACTTATAATCGAGATTTCATATCTCTTAAATCTTACATTTTCTCAGCTGCTTAGTGAGAGTAGGTTTTATATTATTATTATTAAGATTTTATATTTCTTAAATCTTACATTTTCTCAGCTGCTTAGTGAGAGAAGGTTTTACATTATTATAATTGAGATGTTCAAATCTCTTAAATCTTATATTTTCTCAGCTGTTTATTAAGAGTAGGTTTTATATTATTATAATTGAGATTTCATATCTCTTAAATCTTACATTTTCTCAGCTGCTTAGTGAGAGTAGGTTTTACATTATTATAATTGAGATGTTCAAATCTCTTAAATCTTATATTTTCTCAGTTGTTTATTGAGAGTAGGTTTCACAATATTACAGGGTGGCCAAAATGTACGGATTGTACGGATTGTTTTTTTTAATAACCCTAAAATTGTACGGATTGTACGGATTTGTTTTCAAATTGTACGGATTGCACGGATTTTTATCCTGGAAAATACACCGTTTTTTTTAATTTTCACTCATTTCAGCAAATTTTTCATGAAAATTAAAAAAAAATCTCGTCAACATGAAGTTAGTTTAACTTATTTTCTGTATTCTAAATAATATTAGATTGATTAATGTTTCAATTGACAATCAAAATTCATTCATAATTTTCGAGATATGTCCAAGAAGTGTTTATTTGAGAATATGTTCCATAAGTACTTATTTGATTGCTTATTCAAGAAGATGTTCTAGTATCCTGTACCCAGTATCCTGTACCCAGTATCATGTACCCAGTATCATGTACCCAGAATTATGTACCCAGTATCATGTACCCATTATCCAGTATCCAGCATCCTGTATCCAGAATCCTGTATCCTGTATTAAGTTCAATATCCTATATCCAGTATTCATTCAATATCCTGTATCCTGTACCCTGTATCCAGTATTCATTCAATATCCTGTATCCTGTATCCTGGTTCCTGTATCCAGTATCCTGTATCCAGTATTCTGAATCCAGTATCCTGGATCCAGTATCCTGCATCAAGTATCCAGTATCAATCCAGTATCCTGTGTTCTGTATCCAGTATTCTGTATCCTGGATCCAGTATCAATCCAGTATTATGTATCCAGTATTCAGTATCCTGTATCCAGTATCTTGTATCCAGTAACTTGTATCCTGTATCCTGTATCCAGTATCCAGTATCTTGTATTCAGTATCTAGTATCCTGTACCCAGTATCCTGTACCCAGTATCATGTACCTAGTATCATGTACCCAGTATCCTGTACCCCTTATCATGTACCCAGTATCCTGTATCCTGTACCCAGTATCTTGTACCCCTGTACCCAGTATCTTGTACCCAGTATCATTTATCCAGTATATAGTACCCTGTATCCAGTATCCTGTATCCAGTATCCAGTATCCAGTATCTTGCATCCAGTATCCTGTATCTTGTATTGTATCCTGTATCTAGTATCCTGTATCATGTACCCAGTATCCTGTATCCTGTATCATTTACCCAGTATCATGTACCCAGTATCCTGTATCCAGTATCCAGTATCCTGTATCATGTACCCTGTATCATGTATCCAGTATCCTGTATCAAGTACCCAGTATCATGTACCCAGTATTTAGTTTGTATATATGTATGAAGCCAATTTTTTACAGATTGATTCTTACTGAAGAAGTTTAAACCCTTTTACATGAACTGAACACAAAGGACAAGGAATGAAAAATTGAATTTTAATGTGTTTTTTTAAATGGGATTTTTTTCGAAAATTGTACTGATTGTACAGATTTTTTAAAAAAAAGTACGGATTTCTAAAAAAAAATGTTCGGATTGGTTTAAAAAAATGTACGGATTGTACGGATTTTTAAAAAAAAATTGTACGGATTGTACGGATTTTTTTTCGAAAATTGTACGGATTTTACGGATTTCTTCTGAAAATGTACGGATTTTTGTACGGATTTGTTCAAAAAAGTTTTGGCCACCCTGTTAGATATTTCAANTATCCTTGCTCAAATACCAGGGTTTATATTGACAATATCTTATCCTTGCTCAAATACCAGGGTTTATATTGACAATATCTTATCCTTGCTCAAATAAGTCGTAATTTTTTGTTCTTCATTGTAAGCTGATTCTAATGTCAAGGTTTAGGTGGAGAGATTGGATATGATAAATGCTCCTGCTCCTATTGCCCCGGAACTAGCGTATAAAGAAGAACAACACAGCAAGGAGCGACAAAGAGAACTCAGAATTGCAAAGGTAATAATGTCGTATTGGGATTTCTCTCTTCACTTACTGAAGAGCGGGGCGGGTGAGGGGAGGAGTGCGTATCCTCCCTTTGATATGTCTGGCCTTACCAACATTTATTTTAAATAAAGTCTATTTTTTGCTTGCACTCCTTTTTTTCTTAAGAATTTAACTTATCTCTGTTTTTTTATTAAGGATAACACAAATATTGAAGAGGATCTTGTTCATAATGATTTCAAGCGTGAGATGTTATTTTACAGACAAGCTCAGTCAGCTGTATTAGAGGGTATTGCAAGGTAATTTTTATATTTTTACGTCTGCCTGTCCGCTCGTGTTGTAAAGCAATCTGAACTGGTTTTAACAAGAATTCTCTCTTAATACGGTCCGGATCCAAAGCATTAGAATTTATAATTTTGCTAAGTTTTTGTCAAAACTTAATCCATTGATCTGCATATTTTTGCGGATCCAATGGATCCAGGGCTTTAAGCTTGATAATTATATTGACTCTACCTTATCTAAACACGTTGTTAGAATCCTAATTTAACTTCTTTTTATAAAGATTACAGAGTATGAATATCCCCACCAAGCGACCTGAAGATTATTTTGCACAGATGGCTAAAACCGACGATCACATGCAGAAGATCAGACAGAAGCTGCTCTCCAAGCAGCAGGTTCAGGAGAAGGTTGAGAAGATCAAGAAGCTCCGTGAGCTCAAGAAGTACGGGAAGAAGGTTCAGGTCGAGGTTCAGCAGAACAGGCTGAAGGAGAAGAAACAGCTGATGGAGAACGTGAAACAGTTCCGGAAGGGAAAAACTGATAATTTGGACTTTCTTGAAAACACTCCAGGGAAAGGTGGAAAAGACGCAAAACCATCAGAAAAACGGTAAGTTAAGTTTTATTGTAGAAATGAGGAAGGTGTAATAACAGCAGACTTAAAGGAATAAATTACCTAATGACAAAAGATTTATCCCAGAATAATCCTTAAAATGTTCATATAAACTAGCTTGAGTGCAGGTGGAAGGACAACCACTTTCCTAGGTTTACATATATGTATAAAATGTTTTGTATCAAACTGGTGCATGGAAGTGCGTTCACATTTTATTACTTAACCCCAACTGATAAATTTCAAACCTGTAGAATTTAGATATTAATTTCGATCTACTGTCTTATAACATACGTTTTCAAATATTTGATTATCTACTTTTGTGCTCTCGTATTAATTTAATTATTTTAGTGTGAACGGAAAACGGAAGTTTAAAGATGAAAAGTTTGGATTTGGCGGGAAGAAGCGTGGAGCAAAGAGGAATACAAAGGACAGTAACAACGATATGTCGGAGTACAAACCCTTCCGTGGAGCCGGGATGAACAAGAAACTAGGGAAGGGAAACCAGCGGCCGGGAAAGGATAAACGAAAGCAGATGAAAAACAAGAATAAAAAGAAGTAATTATATATTTCAGAGAAGATGCCTCCCACCTCAGTGAAGGATGTTGATCAGCAGAAGTTTGTCGTCGCTCTGGCGGCATTCCTCAAGAAGTAAGTTAAAACTCGATTATATGAAATAGAACCAGAGCCTGTTCTTTCCTTATTAACGTATGAACATAGCCTGTCCTAAAGACGTACTTAGAGCACTATAGTTTCAGTAGAAGTAAATATTACCATTTACTGATAGCGTCGATTGAAGGATTCATAACTATGATTGGATAATGAGAAAGATAGATAGAAAGATAGATACTATTTCTATTGGTTCAGAATAGACAACAAACACATGGCTGAACCCTGATTGGATCAGGCGCTATTGGACTCGGCATACTAGAGTGAGAGGGACGATAGTTTGGCCGCTGGATTTCGAACGTTAAATTCGTATTTGATATAGATAATTATTACGGACACAATCGGAGACGTCGTTTGATCGACCATTGTAACGGACTCAGGGACAGGATTTAATGAGTCACGAGACCTGTTTGAACCATACAGACGTAGCTGAACTATATCTCTTCAACTTGAGCCGGGACAACTTATCCTCAATCTGATTTTACTTGCTTTCATATGTATTCATACTGTGAATCCCAGATATATGAATACTGGATTACTGGAATTTTTTTTCGCTGGGAGATCACTTTTGTGACATTTTCAGTGAATCAATATATCTTTTTTTGTTTCTACTGATAGTGCATTAAGTTAAACCAGGGATCTCGGCGCCCCTGACACCTATCACATTGAAGAAATATGTTTGTCATACATATTCTTAAAACTAATCAATGAGGTGGCATTTTTAATGTCTACTGGCAAACTGTTCCATCTTTTAATAACTCTCAAGCTAAAGAAGTTTTTCCTAATATCTAGATTGCACAGTGTTGAGTTGAGGTTCATATTGCATGTCGAAAATCTTGTTTCTCGTTGAGCTGTGTCTACAGACCTTGTAAACCATGTACCTTCTTTGACATTATCATGCTTATGGAGAATCTTCCAAGTCTGGATTAAATCCCCTCTTATTCTTCTTTCTTCTTAGGTGGTCATGTTGACCTCCTTTAATTGATCAAGGTATGAGGTACTATGGAGGCCTGACGTCATTTTTAAAACCCGTTTTTGAACACTCAAGCAGCTCAATATCTGATTTAAGCCAAGAGTTTTTATAATGTCGCGAAAAAATGAGTTTAATATTAATATATGCATTGCATTCATATTTCATTTTAATTTAACCTGAATTAAAAATAAAAATAAGTTTCTTTAGAATTATCAAAACTTGGCGGTCTATGTATACATATATCTGGGATCCACTGTATTATGTAGTAAACCCTGCTTATAATCCATCTGATCCGGATCTGATATGTTTAAAATAGATTTAAAGTTTTTTTAATTTCTAAAAATAATTGGACATTATCGTCCTGTTTCACTTTTATTTCTGTAACTAAAATATTGCGGACCCGAAGTACTAACTTGTGTTTGCCTAGGTCTGGTAAGATGGCAGTCCCCGAGTGGGTTGACCTGGTGAAAACTGGAGTCTCCAAGGAGCTTGCTCCCTACGATGAAGACTGGTTCTTCGTGAGGACCGCTAGCGTAGCTCGTCACTTGTACATCAGAGCACCTGTCGGAGTTAAGTCCATCAGGAAGATCTACGGAGGTTAGTTAACACTTTCTCTTACTTCTCACTTCTAACTTTTACTTCTCCCGTCTTGTCTCCAAGTTCTTCCTTCTTTAGTATCTAGTTCTTTTTCCTTCTCTCATCTCCTTCAAATCTTCAATCTCCTAGCTTCCTTCTGATTTCTAGTTTTCATTCCTTCTCCTAATGTATCCTATTTCTCCATCAAATCTTCTTCAGTCTCCTAGGTCTTCTTTCTAGCTTCCTTCTGATTTCTTGTTTTCATTCTTTTTCCAACTTCCTTCTTTTGTCTTTTGGTTCTTCCGCCTGTCTTCCTTCCCCTTCCTTTTTTCTGTCTTTTAGTTATTTCTTGTTTTGTAGCTTTTCCTGTCTTCAAATTCTTCTCTTGTCTAATAGTTCTTAGCTTCTATTTTTATTCCTCTTCTCCTCTCATGTCTTCTTGTTCTCCGTCCTTCCTTCTCCTGTCTTCTAGTTATCCGTCCTTCCTCCTCCTCCTTTCTTCTAGTTCTTCGTCCTTTCTTCTCGTGTCTTCTTGTTATCCGTCTTCCTTCTGTCTTCTAGTTATCCCTTCCTCCTCCTGTCTTGTAGTTCTTCATCCTTCCTTCTGGCTTCTAGCTCTTCGTCCTTCCTCCTCCTGTCTTCTAGTTCTTCGTCCTTCTCCGGTCTTCTAGTTCTTCGTCCTTCCTTCTCCAGTCTTTTAGGTCTTCATCCTTTCTCCTCCTGTCTTCTAGGACTTCGTCCTTCCTTCTCCTGTCTTCTAGGTCTTCGTCCTTTCTTATCCTGTCTTCTAGGTCTTCGTCCTTCCTTCTCCTGTCTTATTCTTCATCCTTCCTTCTGTCTTCTAGTTCTTCGTCCTTCCTTCTCCTGTCTTCTAGTTCTTCGTCCTTTCTTCTCCTGTCTTCCAGTTCTTCGTCCTTCCTTCTCCTGTCTTCGAGTTTTCCTTTCTTCCTTCCTTCCTTCCCTCTTTCTGTCTTCTAGTTTTCCACTTTTCTTCTCCTGTCATTTAGTTCTCCGTCCTTCCTTCTCCTGTCCTTAAGTTCTCTGTTCTTCCCTCTCCTGTCTTCTAGTTCTCCATCCTTCATTCTCCTTTCTTCTAGTTCTTCGTCCTTCTCGTGTCTTATAGTTATCTGTCCTTCCTTCTCCTGTCTTATAATTCTCCCTCCTTCCTTCTCCTGTCTTGTAGTTCTTCATCCTTCTTTCTCTTGTCTTCTAGTTCTCCGTCCTTCCTTCTCTTGTCTTCTAGTTCTTCTTCCTTCCTTCTCCTGTCTTCTAGTTCTTCGTCCTTCCTTCTCCTGTCTTCTAGTTCTTCGTTCTTCCTTCTCCTGTCTTTTAGTTCTTCGTCCTTTCTTCTCTTGTCTTCAAGTTCTTCGTCCTTTCTTCTCCTGTCTTCTAGTTCTTCGCCCTTCCTTCTTCCGTCTTCCAGCCTTCTTTCCTTCTTTCTTTTCCTTCCCTTCTTTCTTTTCCTTCCCTTCTGTCTTCTTTATGGTTTTCCTTTCTTCTACTGTTTTCTAGTTCCCCTTCCTCCCTTCTCGTGTCTTCTAGTTCTCCGTCCTTCTTTCTCCTGTCTTCCAGTTCTCCCTCCTTCCTTCCTTGTGTCTTCTACTTCTAGTTCTCCTTCCTTTTTCCTGTTTCTAGTTCTCCCTCCTTCCTTGTGTCTTCTACTTCTAGTTCTCCTTCCTTAATCCTGTTTCTAGTTCTCCCTCCTTCCTTGTGCCTTCTAGTTCTAGTTCTCCTTCCTTAATCCTGTTTCTAGTTCTCCCTCCTTCCTTCCTTGTGTCTTCTAATTCTAGTTCTCCTTCCTTAATCCTGTTTCTAGTTCTCCCTCCTTCCTTGTGCCTTCTAGTTCCCCTTACTTCCTACATTCTCTCATTTAGTTCTTCGTCCTTCCTCCTGTCTTCCTATGTAGTTCTCCTTCCTTCTCGTGTCTCGTCTTCTAGTTCTCCGTCCTTCTTTGCGTCTTCAAGTTTTCCTTCCTTCCTCCGTCTTCTACATGTTCTTCCTTCTTTCATCTAGTTCTCCTTCCTTCCTTCCTTCCTTCTCGTGTCTCGTCTTCTAGTTTTCCGTCATTCCTTCTCCCGTCTTCTAATTCTTCCTTCCTTTTTTCTTCTATTTTTCCTTCCTTCTTTCTATCTTCTAGTTCTTCCTTCCTCCTGTCTTATTTATATTATTCCTTTTCCTAAGGTTTCTCCTTCCTTCCTTTTGTCTAGGTCCCCTTCCCTCCGTCCATCTTTCTGTCCTTACTTCCGTCCTTCCTTCCTTATTCCTTCTTCTAGTTTTCCGTCCTAGTTTATAACCTTTCAATTTTCGTGTTTTATCTAGTATCTTCATGTGCTTCTATTAAATGTTCATAAACTATACTGTGTTTTGTTTAGTTCGTAAGAACAATGGATCCAGCCCTGCTCATTGGTGCACTAGCTCCGGCTCTGTTGCAAGGAGAGCACTCCAGGCTCTAGAGAAGCTCAAGCTCGTCGAGAAGGATGTCAACGGTGGACGTAGGCTCACCGGACAGGTTCGGAATATTTAATATTTTATTCAGGGATATATATGTTTTAATTTCTGTTCATAAAAAATATATATCCCCTACTATATTGTAAATGATGTTAATTATACTTTCGTTCTCCTGACTCCTGATGAGAATTTAAACTTTCTGAATTATATCTTGCTCTTTTTTTCTCACTTGAAACTTGACGTCGAACTAATTCTTGTTTTTATTTTAGGGACGTAGAGATTTGGACAGAATTGCTGCCCAGCTTAAGTACCCCAAAGCTTGAAGTCAAGTTGTCAACAACACTCTTTTGAAATAAACATCTGCTGAAATTATTGTGTTTTATGATTTTAAATTTTGTTTGTCCTGTAATGCTTGGTTTCTTTACAGTAAATAATCCAATGAATCTCTGTTGAAAGGTAGTGTTCGCTACAAATTCTATGACGGGCGGATTATAATTTTACATTGATCGTGGAATGAGATAAAGATATCTAGATCGCCATGAGCCTTCTAAAGTTTAAACAGATTGAATTATGTAAGAAGTGTGGCAAATATATGATTAACGGCTAAGGTTGTATAATAAGGTTAGATACTCAGGATTGCGCTTATTTCGACTTAAATGTGACTCGTCTCCATTGCAATAAAGACTACATTTAACTGCATTGAAGCGCATACTTGGTATATAACTTGTGTACAACCTTGCTGAATGTAGTCTGAATGATTTTTCCTCGAAGCACTAACCTGATTATGGGAAACTGACATTTCTGTTGGTACAAAAATATCTAGGTAAATCATAAAATCCGACAGTCTTAGCTGACTGAAATTGAAATTTTAAGATGTGGTTTTTTTAGTCTTTTTTTTAAATCGACAGAAGATACTAACTTTATGAACTATTTTTAGGGGACATAAGTTCCAAAACTAGCACTTAGTCCATTTCTATTAGTGTAAGAAATGGGCACAATTTGAAAGACTGGGTTTTTGGAATTCCGGCCCATATCCAAAGTAAAAGTCGATAATAAAAACTATAACCAATATTTTATCAAACATGACGAGGACAACAATTCCTAATTTGAACTTTTTTTAAATCAAAATTTTATTAAGAGTTATTTTTATATTAAAGCTCATAACCGTTTCAAGACAATGTTAGGTTTTCCATTTCCGAACATATCCTGAATTTGAAACAATGCTAAGAAACTATGCTCTGAAACAAACCAACTGGACCCCCACTGTTATCATATTTAGTTACAACCAAAATTAGAAAAATATCTTTTCATAAAAGAATCCAAAAGAGTTCAAAGTATCGGTAAAATTTTAATTCATTCAATTTATCTTGACTTGTTTTCTCGTGAAAAGTTTACAAAGAGCATACAATAAAAGCACAAATTCTAGTAAATCACATACAAATTTTTGTTGAGTAAATTTGTGATAATATGTTTGATTCGTACAAAATGCAATTGTAAGAAATCAAAAATTTCTCGATCTACACTAAACGGCAGGTTATTCACAGGTTAAGGAATCTTTGAAATTTAGGAAATAAAAACAGAAGTTTTAACCATAAATAAAACAAATTGTTAATGTATTAATAAAACTATTTCATCATGTGATTATTTGATAAAAAACTTTTGTTGATATAAACATATATCTTGTATTGGAGACCAAAATGTGGGGCGTGGTGACAGAATTGCGGAGACTTGAAGAGGTAGCGAGAGGCGTAAAGACTGCTTCCCTTAACTTGGAGAGCATTCTTTGTATCAGGAGGCTCCGTAGGTCATTTTGCACCCCTCCCTTCATGGCGGACCGAAAATGAAATCTCGAGACTATTGTGATTAGAACTAGCTCCTTGAAGAAGATAATAATCAACAACATACACGGACGCGGTTTCTGCAATTCCTGTAATTCTCCTGATGGGACTACCAAAACAATGAGAATTATATAAACCTAAATCTGAAACTACATCATGAAAGAAGTATACCTAGCAAGCTCCTAAACCTGGAAACCAGCAGATATACCGAGTGGTTTGTTATTGTAACTTCAATGTTGTAATCTGAATGTGTTTAAATGCAATCTTTCCAAATCTAACTTATCCTAATATCCGTCCTAACTAATATCCGTCCTACATATATGTATAAAATGTTTNAACTTATTCTAATATCCGTCCTAACTTATTCTACCATCCGTCCTAACTTATTCTAATATCCGTTCTAAATTAACCTAATATCTGTCCTAACTTATCCTAATATCCGTCCTAACTATTCCTAACATCCGTTCTAACCTATCCTAATATCCGTTCTAACTGATCCTAATTGTTTTAACTTTTCCTAATACCTTTGATTCTTAACCTAATACCTGTCCCACCCCAACCGCTCAAGCTTTTTCCATTAATTTGATCCAACCCCTCATGTTCCTCAAGATGCTTTAAAATATATAAAGAAATTGAGTCGTTGGAACAAATCAAATATTTAAACCCTAATATCTTCAGAACTCGATGTTGTAAACCGTTGATATTTCAAACTCAGATTATTTGATCTAACAGAATTCATAGTTTGAAATATCTAAGGTCTGCAACATTTAGTTCCAAAGATATAGTGATGAGAAAATCAGAGTTTGTGGCAAAGACTCAATTCTTTTACTCACACAGGTTCAAGGTTTTTAAAAAAATTTAAATTCATATTTCAAAAAGTAAGGATAGCAAGTCATCAAGTTCTAGTACAAACTCACGACAAAATATAATAGTTATTGTCCATGATGTAAATTGGTTAATGCTTTTAATTTTGAATATAATTTTGTTGAAATACAAAAAAATTGTAATGAAATAGTCGAATCTTAATATGTAAGGAAATAATCCATGATAACATGTGAAAAGTAAACCTAAATGAATAGGTAACAATTAAACATAACCACTATCATCAATATAGAAAGCTTATTTTTTTTGTTAAGAGTTTGTTAATTGAGTGTTGATTAAAAGATTTAAAAAATGAGTACAGTATTTTCAGAGACGAACTTATTTGAAATGGAGACGATGTTGTCTAGCTTGGAGCGCATGGTGGAGCATGATCTGATAGTGTTTCATTATTTTTGTTTTTTTGCTCTTTAATATATAAAAATGACGATTTTTCATCATATATGTTTATTTTTGTTGTAAGCCATATTCAATATTTTGTCTGAAAAAAAAGAAAATAAAAATTTGCGTCATTTGCTTGTTTTGTAAGTTTTCTATCTCTTAAGGTTATCCTCGCCATTTCTAGATTTAATATGTTTACTGGAATTTTAACAAAATAAGATAAATCAGGTTTCATAGAAGACATTATCTTGTGGAAACCACTTTTACTTGTTTTTAAAGATGTAAAATATTCATTCTCGAATAGTTTTTTCGTCGACATAAACATACGTTTATTGTTTTATTTGTAATAAATCAATCCGGGCCGCAATATTAAAGATTTCATGTTAACTTGTATGTTCAGATTCTTTGCAAGGATAATTATTAAACTTATTGATTTCCCATTGTTTACTTTGTTGGGTTTGTTTATTTTCTTCTTTAATAAATATCATGATATTTTAGATTAACACATAAACAACGGATTTCAAGCCAATATTTCATTTAATTTGACGTCTTGGAGAATTTGTCTTAAAATGTAACTTATCATTAGTTTTTAATGTTTTCGTTTAATTAATGATTAAACTTTTTTTCCATCAAAGAAATAGAAATAAATGATTAGTTATTCCTGTTCCAAATTTTATCATGAACATTTTTTTCGATATTTTCTTCTTTTTTATTAAAATTAAATTAAGAGTTATTCCAACAAACTTGCTGTTAATCTGGACATGTTTCGTATGTTCCAATCAATCAACGGATATGTCTTTTGTAGTATTTTTTTGATAGTATTTTAATATAAATTCTTTATAAAAACTTAATTTTTTTAATTCTGTGATTTGTAATACAATCTGGAGATTAAAATGCTGAGAAGAGGATGAAGGAAAAGTTCACTGATGTAGGATAAGGATGGGACATGAGGAACAAGAGAACAAGGCCTTATCTGAACCTGGAGATATTCATGAGTTCCAACCTGAACCTGGAGATATTCAGCAGGTCTAATCTGAACTTGGAGATATTCAGCAGTTCTAATCTGAACTTGGAGATATTCAGCAGGTCTAATCTGAACCTGGAGATATTCAGGATATTCAGCAGTTCTAATCTGAACTTGGAGATATTCAGCAGGTCTAATCTGAACCTGGAGATATTCAGCAGTTCTAATCTGAACTTGGAGATATTCAGCAGGTCTAATCTGAACCTGGAGATATTCAGCAGTTCTAATCTGAACCTGGAGATATTCAGCAGTTCCAACCTGAACCTTTTATCGACTGGTCTAATTAAATCTACCCAAAGGAACTGAGTTCTTGCCACCAACTCAAATATTCTCATCCCTATATCTTTGCAACCTGGTAATGGTATTAACATTAATACTTTCAAATTTAAACTGTTTGATCTTAAAGATCAAAGGTTATACGACGTCGGGTTGCAAAGATCTAGGCGTGTTGAAACATTAGAGTATGTGACAATTGAACTCAACTCCTTTTTGTTCTGTTGTTTTATACAGTGCTACCTTCAAAAGATTAGACTTTATTCAGTTGTCTTTGATTTTTATCACAATAAGTGAGTGATTTTTAATTTATTTCTTATAGCAATGGTATTCTTTTCAAACTAAACCAAATTCCGACGTTTTTCCTTATAAATGTACCCGTCCGACGTTAGTACTGGTCCGACGATTGTACTAGTCCGACGATTTTATTAGTTCGACGATTGTACCAGTCCGACCTTTGTAACGTCCGACGTTTGTACTGGTACCGTAATAAGATGGACATATTCACCTTTTTATAATTTCTTTTTATCTTAAAAAGTTTGGAGCTCTTGGCATGAAATTATTTATTTCAGAGAATATGATCGATGATAATATGAGACACATACTCAAGGTATTTATATTTGAACAAAATAAAGAATTATTGTTTCTTAAAAACTGTAAATTATGTTAATGACACATTACTCTGATATTTTAGTATTTAGTGAGATCAGATCTCACTAAGAGCTACGAGTTCAGCCTTGCTGTGTCGGATAAATGAGCTGGAGAATACCGTCAAGGTTTGGAGAACAGGAGGTTGAGTCGTAGATAAGAACATGCTGAGAACAATAGCAGATATTAATATCATTCAAGGTAACAAGCATTAAGATAAAGGTATGCATTACAGAGGACGCAGGTCTCAAACCGGGCAAAATTGTTAAGATAAACGTTTAAGAAACTCCTCCATTGTCCAGGGAAAATTTTATTGAAATAAACTATTTTCAACTTTTTTTAAAAATACAAGGTTTTTAATTTTCTTAGAGGTCACAATTCACAAGAATTCATAGATTTCGAAATGGTTATTTTTAGATTTTTGCATTTAAAATAAACAATATCCTGCATTTCTATATTTAAATCATCAGGTAACCGTATCAAAAAAGAAAAATATGTAGCTTTGAGTTTTTATATAATTGTATGCGGACGGTTTTTTAGTTACACAACTTAAAATAAAAGATTTAATTAGTTGAAAAGATTAGATTGTTACTTTGGACCAAACCTGACATTTAGTCTGAGGTCTTGGCCCAAATCATGGTTAGGAACTTTCTTTTCCTGCTTAAAGGCAAGGGTTTTTAGCTTTTCCAAAAAATATTACTCTGAAACTTCTCAGCTGCAGTTTCACGATCATTAAATTAGTAATTTTAACAACATCAAGAAAGATTCAATTTAATGAGTTTCTTGTAGTTAACTAAATAAGTTTATCATAAACATTAAACACATTGACAGAACAAAGATTTAGAAAATAATTAAACCTGTACTTTAAATGTGTTGGCTAAAAATACTGAAATGGTTCATCATTTTAAAAATTTGATAAAAATGTATTATTAAAAATACTTTTTAGAATTGAAAATCTCTTGGCTTAGTCCTCTTGGTTGTGGTCCAGTGTTCAAATACTTGGTTGAGAAACACGAGGAACTGGAAACTATCAGTATAAGGTTGCATGGTGTGAGGAGTACAGAGGATGAGAAGGATATCGTGTTGACTGTACTCTCCAATATTAATCTAAGGTCCATTTCTGTTCATAATATGGTGTCTACAGGAGATATATTCAGTAGTCTCCCCAGTACTCTTCCTAACCTAGAAAAGCTGGTACTGAATAGTTGGTGGTCGTTATCAAATCAAGGACTGATTGAGATATTAAACAGATCCGGGAGTAATCTCAGAGAATTAGATTTAAGATATTCTCATATTACGGGGGTTGGAGTAGAGGAAGGAGTAAAATCTCTTCCAAACCTAGAGATATTGAAGCTGGTTTGGTGTGATAATCTGACAGATGGAGGACTGAAGGAGAGTTAAGATTGTCTGGCAATAAACTGAGATTTCTAGATCTAAACTATTCAAGTACTACAGGACAGGGACTCAAGGAAGGAGTATCTCTGCCAATGCTGGAGAAACTGTACCTGGGAGAGTGTCACCAGCTGACTGATTCAGGTCTCCTGGAGATACTGAGTATCTCGGGGAGCAGATTGAAGACTGTGTATGTGACTAATGGAAGAATATCTACTGTAGTGAGAAGCACTCTCCCTTCTTAATATCCTTCTGTTCAATTTCACTATTTATAAATTGTGGATTTAGAAGATGAAGAACTGAAGAGGACACTATGTTACACAGATTAATCTTGATGTCTAACCATAAACTATATTAATTAATTCCTTTATATCTAGATTCAATGTATCTACTAATATTAGAGACTTAATATTTTATTCAAAAGTTTCTCTTGTGGAAACCATGTTTACTTGATTTTCAAGATGTAAATTAATATTCTTAACTAGTTTTTTCTTTAACAGAAATGTTAATTGTTTTATTTTCGTAATAATTGAATCCGGGCCGGAATAACAAAGGGTTTTTGTATTGTCTTTAGTTTGTTTTGTATTGTCTTTTGTAGTTCCCTTGTATCTACCTGAATACAGAATAGTTCAGACTTTTAACAAGAATAATTTATAAATTTATTTATTTTCCATTTTGTTTTTTGGGTTTGTTAATTTTTTCTTTTTCAACACAAATCATAATATTTCTGATAAACACAAAAACTACGGATTTTATTTATTTTTATGTCTTGGAGGATTTGTCTTAATGTGTAAAATATCATTAGTTTTAAATATTTTCGTTTAAACTTTAATAAAACTTTTTTTCCGTCAGAAAAATAAATTTAAATGTTCAGGTACTCCTGTTCCAAATTTTATCCTGAAATTTTTTTCGATATTTTCGATATTTTAACAAACCTGCTGTTAATATCTGTATAAAAAATATCCCTCACTTCTAAACCTTTTTATTATATTTCAATGAATCTACGGATATATCTTCTGTAAAAATGTAAATTATATAAAATGATGAAAATTTTTCTCCTCTGTTTTTGTGAATTTTTAGACATTTTCATCTTCTTTCGATAAAACTGTGTTTATTTCAGATTATTAGAATGAATGTATGAGAAGAGAGGAGAATAGAATAAATTGAAACTAAGGAGAATATGCAGAATCTGCAGATTTAAATGCTGAGAAAAGGATGAAGGAAACCAAGTTCACTGATGTAGGATAAGGATGGGACGGGAGAACAAGAAATATCTTCAATTTCACTTCCCATTTAGCAGATTAATCTGAACCTAGAGATATTTAACTGTCTCAATTTTAACCTAGAGATATTCAGTAGGTCTAACTTTAACCTGGAGCTATTCACGGTTTACCAGGCCTAATCTGATCCTGGAGATATTCAGTAGTTCTAATCTGAACCTGGAGATATTCAGCAGGTCTGATCTGAACCTAGATATATTCAGTAGGTCCGGAGATATTCAGTAGGTCTAACCTAAACCTGGAGCTATTCACGGTTTACCAGGCCTATTAATAACTATAAAAGAAGAATATGCAGGACAAGGTTGTACCACAACCTGGAGATTTAAATGCTGAGAAGAGGATAAAGAAGCCATGTTTACTGATGTAGGATAAGGATCATTTACCATTTAGCACGTCTGATCTGAACCTGGAGATAATCAGAAAGCCTTATAGGAACCTGGATATAATCAGCAGATATAACCTAAATATTCTGTAGGTCTAATTTGAACCTGGAGTATTCAATATGGAAAGGAAACCCTTAGTTTGAAAATTTTAGATTAAACCTATTATTATATTAAGAATTCTAATAATATGCTAAATTGTAAACCTTTTAATTGAATATTATAGTTATGTTTCAGAATATAGTTGTAATAATACATAATACTAACACTTATTATAAAACTAAAATTGTATCCTCCCTTNCTTGGATATTAGATCTGTTTGAGAAGAACTGGTTCCACCTGGATATTAGATCTGAGGATCAATTAATATTGGTTCCATTCTCAAGAGCTAGAGAACCTAAAGAAGATTTGGTTCCTCTTGGATATTAGATCTGTTTGAGAAGAACTGGTTCCGCTTGGATATTAGATCTGAGGATCAATTAATATTGGTTCCATGATCAAGAACTAGAAAACCTAGAAAAGAACTGGTTCCGCTTAGATATTATATCTAAGGATCAATTAATATTGGTTCCATGATCAAGAACCAGAGAACCTGGAGAAGATCTGGTTCCGCCTGGACATTAGATCTAAGGATCACTTAATATTGGTTCCATGATCAAGAACTAGAGAACCTAGAGAAGAATTGGTTCTTTCTGGATATGAGATCTGAGGATCAATTAATATTGGTTCCATGATCAAGAACTAGAGAACCTGGAGAAGAACTAGGAACTTTTAACTATTCTTATGTTTTTAACAAATCTATTAATTTCATGTAGATTAGTAATTAATAAGTTTGCACAACACTACTGTAATTAATTGTAAATATTCACCTTTTTTAATCTGCTTTAATTCTTTAAAAGTCTGCAACTTTTAACAGGAAATTATTTATTTCAGAGTTATTACTTTCTCAAGATGTCTGGCTTGGAGAATATGATCGATGATAATATGAGACACTTGCTGAAGGTATATATATTTGAACAAAATATAGAATTATTGTTTCTTAAAAACTGAAAATGAGGATAATGACACGTTACTCTGATATTTTAGTTCTTGCCTAAGAAGGATAAGATCTCACTAAGATCTACGAGTTCAACCTTGCTGAGGCAGATAACTGAGCTGGAGAGGATAAAGAAGCCATGTTTACTCAAGTAAAAATTTGTTCAACTTCGAATTCCACTTAGTAGATCTAATTTGTACCTGGACATTAGATATTCACCAGTTCTGATCTAAACCTGGAGATATTGAGTTATTCAGGAGATCTAATCTAAACCTGGAAATATGGAGCTATTCAGCAGATCTAATCTGCACCTGAAGATATTCAGCAGATCTAAGCTAAACCTGGAGATGTTGCACGTCATGTGTAATTATAAATTATATTCTGGTTCAAACTGCATTTATAATTTAACACCGAACATATTCTGAAATTTATTTGACTTCTTCATAAAGCTGTTATTTTGGAATAATTGTTTTCTTAAAATGTTGAATATTTGATTTATTCTACTAAATTCACCATGAACCAGGGCAGTCTAATAAAGATCTTGGCCAATAAGTATGGGGGGACAACCTTTATTTTTTTTGGCATTAAGGAGTGTCTTAAACTTATTTCTCACTACAGTCACGATACAAGTTCTATTTCTCACATAATTTATCTTTTTGTTATTCTCCTTTGTAATGTATTATTAAAATTATGAAATCTGAAGTTAAATTTTAGATTTTTCAGAGAGTGTAAGAAGAAAATGGAGAACATGTTGTCTGGATTAGAGAGGATGGTAGAGTATGATCTGATAGTTGTGCTCAGGCATTTAACTAAGAAGGACAAGATGTCACTGAGAGCTTCAAGTACAACCTTGCGGAGACGGATTGACGAGCTGGAGAACACCTTCAAGGTTTGGAGGATTGGAGAAGTTGATTCTACTAGACTGAGAAGATTATCAGACGAGATACATACTATTCAAGGTAACACATGCAACCGGGAGTACATATTGCAAACTTATAATTTGAATACTCTTGAAACAGAATTTTAAAAGAAGTGTTCAAAAACCAACGAACAAAGGAGTCTCCTTAAAAAACATGCCTTAATTTAAACCCGAGTTTACACGTACAATATATTATTTTCGATCTAATAATGGGACAAACAAAAATCTTGTTTTATGTTCATACCTACTTTTATTCACGTTTGAAGATTATGAAATCCTCTGATACGTTTCAGCTTTTTCCGACAAAAGCCTCAGTTTAAAAAAGATTATATAAACTTTGAAACTCCGTTGATGTTAATACGGTACCAACAATTTACCAATAAATCTTAAAGGGTGTATGTTGGCAAATTTAGATCAAGAAGGAATATGAGTCTTTGCCACAAACTCAAATCTCTAGAACCTGATGGTATAAACCTTAGATATTTCAAATTCAGATTATTTAATACTGGCTTAGGAATCCAGCTCTGCCTAGATTCTAAAAGTTATTTAAGGCGTTTACCCGCACTTAAACGATTTAACCAGGAAACTAAATGTTCGCTATTATAACCTAAAAACTAAGCTAAGAACATTCTCATGGGTCTCCTGTGTTCCCCAATCGAAATATTAGGCAAATCGGTCTAGGGGTTCCTGAGTTATGATCGTACGAACAAAAAAACAGAAAAACAGAGATTACAACTTTATATTTTACAGAATTCATAGTTTGAAATATCATAACTCTACAAAATTGGGTTGCAAAGATGTATGGATAAGAAAGTCTAAGAATGTCTAAAAAATTGAGAGGTTTTCAAAATTGTGCTTAAAAATTGCTATAATCAATAATTGATCATAATACAACATTTTTGTTTGCACACAAACTCAATTTTCTAATCCCTCTATCTTTGCAACATGATGATATTTCAAATTATATATTGAATTTTATAGAATGCATAGTTTGAAATATCCAAGTTACACATTTATTCCACAACCTGTAAATTTATATGTTAGAATTAGATTTATAAATGTTGCTAATGTATGTAAGGGCAAACTTTAAGTTCTTTCTGAGAGATATTTTTAATGTAAAATATGATATTGCAAAATTGTTAAGATAAACGTTAAAGAAACTCCTCCATTGTCCAGAGCAAATTTCATAGTATTAATCTATTTCCAACATTTCATTAAGCTTGACGAAAAATGAAAATTTTCTAAAATTTGAACTGTTAGAAATCCTTTACAAAGCACGCATCCCTTTAAAAAGCACGCATCACTGTACATTTTTTATATGCACAAGATACCGACTCAATTTCTTATTTTGTTCATTTGTTAAAAATTCAATGTTTGATCAAATATTTTCTTAGAGTTGGAAATACGTCGCCTTAGTCCTCCTGGTTGTGGCCCAGTGTTTAAATACTTGGTGGAGAAACACGAGGAACTAGAAACTATCAGTATAAAGTTGTATGGTGAGAGGAGTACACAGGATGAGGAGGATATCGTGTTGACTATATTCTCCAATATTAATCTAAGATCCATTACTATTGATAACATGTGGAATACAAGAGACATAGTTGGTAGTCTCCCCAGTACTCTCCCTAACATAGAGAAGCTGGAACTGATTGGTTGGATTTCGTTATCAGATCATGGACTTATAGAGATATTGAAGAGATCCAGGAGTAGTCTCAAAGAATTAGATTTATCTTATTCTAACATTACGGGGGTTGGAGTAGAGGAAGGAGTAAACTCTCTTCCAAATCTAGAAGTACTGAAGCTGTCTACGTGTTATAATCTGACAGGTGGAGGACTGAATGAGATACTAAGATTGTCTGGCAATAAACTCAGAGTATTAGATGTATCACGTACTAATATAACAGGGCAAGGGTTCAAGGAAGGAGTATCTCTCCGTATGCTGGAGGAACTGAACCTGGGAGAGTGTGACCAGCTGACTGATCCAGGTCTCCTGGAGATACTGAGTATCACAGGCAAACTGAGAGTACTAGATGTATCCTGGACTAATATAACAGGGCAGGGGTTCAAGGATGGAGTATCTCTCCCTATGCTGGAGGAACTGAACCTGAGATGGTGTGAACAGCTGACAGATTCAGGTCTCCTGGAGATACTGAGTATCACAGGCAAACTGAGAGTACTAGATGTATCATGTACTGATATAACAGGGCACGGGTTCAAGGATGGAGTATCTCTCCCGATGCTGGAGGAACTGAACCTGAGATGGTGTGAACAGCTGACAGATTCAGGTCTCCTGAAGATACTGAGTATCTCAGGTATCAGATTGAAGACTGTTTGGCTTTGGGGAACCAGAATATCTACTGTAGTTAGAAGCACTCTCTGCACCCAATATCCTTCTGTAGAACTGAAGTGGGGTCCAGAAGAATATCCAGAATATCTTTAATGGTTTTCTATCGAAAAACTGTAATATTTATTTTTATTATTTCTAGATTCAATTTATCTACTAATATTAGAGAAATTAGGTTTCATTTAAAAGGTTATCTATCCTATGGAAACCATTTTTTGTCAGTATTAGTATTTAAATTTTGATATTACAAACCTGCTGTTAATATCTGTAAACAATATCCTTCTCTTCTGAACCTATTCTAATTTTATGGATATTTCTTCTGTAATGAATAATGTAAATTATATAAATTCCTGATGGTAATTTTTTTCTTCATGTTTGTGATTTTCTTCTTATTTTGATAAAACTGTGTTCATTTCAGATTATTAGAATGAATGTATGAGAAGAGAGGAGAATAGAATAGATTGAAACTAAGGAGAATATGCAGGACAAGGTTGTAACACAACCTGGAGGTTTAAATACTGAGAAGAGGATGAAGGAAGCCAAGCTCACTGATGTAGGATAAGCATGGGACTGGAGAAAAACAAGATATATCTTCAATTTTACTCTCCATTCATCAGGTCTAATCTTAACCTGGATATATTTAGTGGGTATAATTTGAACCTGGAGATATGCAGTCGTTTTCATTTAAACCTGGAGATATTCAACCGTTTTCAATTGAACCTGAAGATACTCAGCAGTTCTAATTTGTACCTGGAGATATTCAGCAGTTCTAATTTGTACCTGAAGATATTCAGCAGTTCTAATTTGTACCTGAAGATATTCAGCAGTTCTAATTTGTACCTGAAAGTTTTCAGCAATTAATCTGAACCTTTATTAATCGATTTTTTTTTGTTTAAACCAATTATTTTATAAGAAATCCAAATACTATTTTAAATAGTAAACATATAATTATTTTGTTTTAAACCTGTTATTTTTATATAAATCCTAATAATATGTTTAATAGTCTACAGGGTGCGTACTAAAGATGGAAACTTTTAAAATAACTTTAACATTTTTTATATTAAACCCAATTTAGACATCTGATTCAAATGATTTAACGTATATTCAATGTTTGGGAGTGGATTGAATATATTTCATCAAAAAAATAGAGTTTTTGCCGCAAACTAAAATCTTCGAAACCCTGTATCTGTGCAACCGAATGGTTTAAACCTTTAATATTTCAAACTTAGAATATTTAATCTAACAGAATTCATAGTTTGAAATATATATTAGGATTAGAAAATCAGAGTTTGTGGCCAAATCTCAATTCCTTAAACCTTCTTCAACCTCAACCACGCCTCTTCCGGACCTCTAAACTCAGTACAAATAGTACCCAGGGTTAGTTCATCCAAGTTTAGTACCCAGGGTTTGATCATCCAGGTTTAGTACTCGGGGTTAGTTCATCCAGGTTTAGTACCCGGGATTAGTTCATCAAGGTTTAGTACCCAGGGTTTGATCATCCAGGTTTAGTACTCGGTGTTAGTTCATCCAGGTTTAGTACCCGGGGTTAGTTCATCCAGGTTTAGTACCCATGGTTAGTTCATCCAGGTTTAGTACCCAGGGTTAGTTCATCCAGGTTTAGTACCCAGGGTTAGTTTATCCAGGTTTAAAACCCAGGGCTAGTTCATCCAGGTTTAGTACCCATGGTTAGTTCATCCAGGTTTAGTACCTAGGGTTAGTTCATCCAGGTTTAGTACTCGGGGTTAATTCGTCCAGGTTTAGTACCCGGGGTTAGTTCATCCAGGTTTAATGCCCAAGGTTAGTTTATCCAGGTTTAGTATCCAGGATTAGTTAACACAGGTTTAGTACCCAGGGTTAGTTTATCCAGGTTTAGAACCCAGGGTTAGTTCATCAAGGTTTAGTACCCAGGGTTAGTTCATCCAGGTTTTGTACACAGGGTAGTTCATCCAGGTTTAGTACCCTGGGTTAGTTCATCCAGGTTTAGTACCCAGGGTTAGTTCATCCAGGTTTAGTACCCAGGGTTAGTTTATCCAGGTTTAGTACACAGGGTAGTTCATCCAGGTTTAGTACCCTGGGTTAGTTCATCCAGGTTTAGTACCCAGGGTTAGTTCATCCAGGTTTAGTACCCAGGGTTAGTTTATCCAGGTTTAGTCAGGACTAATTAACACAGGTTTAGTACACAGGGTTAGTAAACACAGGTTTAGTACCCAGAGCTAGTTAACACAGGTTTAGTACCCAGTATAAGTTCATCCAGGTTTAGTACCCAGGGTTAGTTAATACAGGTTTAGTACCCAGGGTTAGTTAACACAGGTTTAGTACCCAGTGTTTGTTTATCCTGGTTTAGTACCCAGGATTAGTTAACACAGGTTTAGTACCCAGGGTTAGTTCATCCAGGTTTAGTACCCAGGGGTTGTTTATCCTGGTTTAGTACCCGGGGTTAGTTTATCCAGGTTTTGTACCCAGGGTTAGTTCATCCAGGTTTAGTACCCGAGGTTAGTTCATCAAGTTTTCGTACCCAGGGTAAGTTTATCCAGATTTAGTACCTAGAGTTAGTTAATCCAGATTTAGTACCTGGAGTTAGTTCATCCAGGTATAGTACCCTGGGTCAATTTATCTATTATTCATAAATAGAAAATTTCATAGAAGACATTTCATAGACAGGATATTTCATAGAATAAGAAATTCATAGATAGGACATTTCATAGAAGGCATTTCATATACAAGACATTTCATATATAGGATATTTCATAGAATAAGAAATTTATAAATAGGACACTTCATAGAAGACATTTCCAGCTAGAACATTTCATAGACAGGACATTTCATAGAATAAGAAATTCATGCATAGGACATTTTATAGAAGACATTTCAGAGACAGGATATTTCATAGATGGGACATTTCATAGAATAAGAAATTCATAGAAAGGACATTTCATAGACAGGACATTTCATAAATATGACATTAAATAGAAAGGACATTTCAAAGAAAAGGAAATTTTTAGTTTTAAAGCTTATTAAGATTGTACTTTTCAGAGATATTTCTCGGAGATCTTCTGAAGGAATTTCCTTCCTCCAACACCGATATTAAGCTGATAAGTAATCTTTTTTTGAGAAAGTATGAAGAGATACATAATTATGTAATTACAAAGGATGATTTTTGGGATGTTTCCGTACTTTTAAAAACTTCATTTAGTTGAGGTGTTTCTTTTTTTTCTTGAGTTGTATCCACAAATTTTTGGGGCGTTTCCGTATTTTTAGAAATTTTATTTAGATTAGGTGTTTACTAGGTGTTATGAGGCTTTTCCGTATTTAAAAAAAAATAGTTTAGTTTAGTTGTTTCCTCTTTCTTTTTAAGGCATTTCCGCTAAAGTCTGAGAAGTTTCCGTTTTTCAAAAAAAAAATCGTATCTATTGGTTGTGTTGTTTCCTCTTGTTTTTGGGCGTTTACGTCTCTTGAGAAAACTGCTTAAAGGAGAAAGAATCTGGATTCTGTTTTGCGGTTTATCAAGTTCAAATTCAAATATATGAGCATTTACAAAGATGACATTAAAATAAACAGTGGTCTTCAGAATAGGGCGGAATGGCCCTGTCCAGAATCCCCTTGTTTGCCCTAAAAGTCGGATCATATTTAGGAAAAGATGCAACATATTGTGTTCAAAATTTGACTATAAATATATGTCCTAATTTCCTTTCCAACCTAAATGGACTGAGCTGAAAACTTTATAATGAAATATCCTTAATCCCGATCGGCTAATTGATCTGAAGATTAATAACAAGAGGAGAACAAGTATTATTTAATCTGGATATTTTAAAAAAGAGGAGATCAAGCATTAATCTCGATATCCACCATTCTAAAGTTTTCAGCTCTGGTCAGGTTAAAACCAGTTGTGTAATCTGAAAAAACTGACCAAATCCAACCTATAAGTGGACTTGTTAGGTTAAGACCCGTATCAGACCAGTAAGGTGAAGTAATTGGTTACTGAAGATAACAAAGTGGTCTCCAGAATAAAGTGGTAAGGATGCAACAGTCTCTGAAAAATACAGTGATATGACACTTTACGGCAAAAACAAACTGAACTTCTGTTAAAAAAAATTGGGTAATCAAAAAAGAAAAGAAAAATTGGACATCAAAGTTTTCATCCTTTTTAATTTCTGGGGGGGAGAAAAAATTTTTTTGAAAGGGAGAACGATTTTTGCCACAAACTCATATTTTCTAATCCCTATTTCTATGAAACCTGATGGTGTTAATCTTATTTAAAACTTAGGCTTTTTCATATTTCATAGAATTCATAGTTTCAAAATATTAAAGATCTATGACATCAGGTTGCACAGATATAGGGATTATAATATTGTATTTTTTTTAAAATCTCATTTCCTTTTCTCCATTAATAAATGATCACATTTATATGTTCTGTTGTAAACCAAGCAACGCCTAGGTATGAAAGATATACGATTCTTTAATATAGATAAAAAACTTTCAGTAATTTGGTTTAAATAAGGATTTTTATGGGGGGGCACAAAATATTCTTGGTGTGTTAAGGTGCCCCCCCCCCCTGCACCAAAGCTCTTGACCCTGATAGTACAAAAAAGAGGTAGCACCTCAACTAAAATACCTTTTTAAAGGTTTTTTGAAAAACGGAATCGCCTCAACTAAAAGAAGTTTTTTAACTTTGTTTGAGAAAGAGAAAACACATCACCTTAAATATGAAATATTTTTTTTTTGAAAAACAGAAACACCTTAAAATATGCAGAAACGCATTAAAAAAAAGAGGAAATGCCTCAACTAAAAGAAGTCTTAAAAGTTTTTTTTAAAAAAGGGAAACGCCTCAACTATAAACATTGGGAAACGACTTAAAAATATTCGGAAATCCCTCGACACCCTTTTCAAGTTTTGACGAGATTTCTTAAAATAAAACGGAAATTGATCTTCCGGGGGGGGGGAGCAATTTCATTTTAGTATAGACTAAAACCTAATTTATATTTATGTAATGTATCCTTTATAGTCTTTATATTTGACATGAAAAGAAAGCAGTTTTACCCGCGCGAATTGGTTAAACATCAGCGTATTAAGTAAAATGGGTTTGATTAGTGCACAAATAGTGCATAATTGTTGGGTTTCATGTTTATTAGACAATTTAATATCAAAATTTGAGTCTTACAGTCGTCTTCTTATTCCAGAGTATTATGGGTCCTACTGTAAAATACAGATTTTATATGTTTTATCTAACGAGATGGGAAAACCTACTCATGCGTATCATGAATTATTTATTTATAATATATCGGAAATTAAAACACTTAATGCAATAGTTTTCCCTGGAAGAGTAAAAAAACATTTTATTTTTTAAAATCTGTGTTTCAAATTTAATAATTTTATATTGTTTTTGTTGATTGTGAAATTGTATAAATTAAATCTTCCATGATGATTCATTTACAGGCTTGGCGGTCCAGTCCGCCCTCTCTTAGCCGATTCGTGAAACATTTTCTAGCTGTGATTTAGCTGCGATTTCCCAGGCTAGCTAGGCGAGGAAGTCACAGCTAAAGCATAGCTAGAAAATGTCTAACGAATCGGACATCTATACACAGTTTACTCTAGGTTTGCTCTAGGTCTACCTGCTTACACAGTATATATATCATCTTCAGTCTGCACTAGAACCCGGAGTTAACTACCTTACTGTAGTCCTGACACAATGAACAGGATTTTTTAAGAACAAGGATGAGAGATACACTGATTTTCCTTTTTTATTTTTTGGTTCAAGTCCGAAGTAAATGCTTGGATGAATTCTCCGTGTCAAATTATTCATCAACAACTGTATCCTTGTCCTGGGAGTATTCCTGCTCTGCAGACGATATAGAAACCTATAAAGTAGATTATGTTCATAAAAATTACAAATCCTGTTCCGACGGAAGAAGGGATAAGTCCAAACCCTCCGGGTTTGGAACCGTTGAAGTTTTAGAACCTCGGGTTGTAATACAAAACCTTCATCCGTACTCCGAGTACAGTTTTGAAGTGAGAGTGATAATAAAAGGTCGGAACGGAAGACCAGAGAGTAAAACTGTTCTAGCTTCCACAGATTACAGTATTCCTAAAGTAAAAGCTCAGCCTAGTAGTCTAGATTATAGTTATAAAAACACTGACACTAAACTGGTTTTCAATTGGTCTCCTCCTCTTGAATCCACTCAGTGTAATCTCTACTACTCGGAGCTGGGAAGTTTTCTCTACCAGGTTCAGGGAACTAGTGAATGGAACCGTAGATACTTCAAGGAGGATAGTCTAGAGATATCCGAGACCCTGGTGGAGATAGATGGATTGGAACCATACTCAGATTATCTTTTCCTCCTGTTTATTAGTAACACGGAGAACGAGTATGACGAGGACGTGTATCTCCGACTTGAAGGGAGAACACTCTCCAGTGAACCGGATCCTCCGGAGAGATTAGTGGCTGAACCCTCCGATGAAGGAACAATATATTTCAGATGGAGACCAAGGAATCCTAAAAAAGGTAAAGTAGTGAAGGGTGTCCTTAAAAAGGTTTATTTAAATCAAGGTTCTTTAATAAGGTCGGATGCGCTCCAATGTACTGAAAATGTCGTCTCCTTAGCTTAGATATTATAGAATTCTTTTATGACGTCACACTCGCCTCTATAATGACTGACGTGAGATGCGGATTCTATTTATCTATTCTGATAGAAGATGATGTTTTCTGTACATTGGAGCACACCCAGAGTTACCAACTTTATTAAAGAACCTTGGTGTATAGGTTTTGTTCACATATTTGAAAATACACCAAATTTTAGATTTAGGAGCACTAGCATACCTACCTATAGAATAATGAACTATGCACCATTATCAAGCCTCGTTAATTAGGTTCCGTTTATAAATGGTTTAAATTCAAAACTTTTGGAGGCCACGAATAATTGTCATTTTGTTGACAGTTGTTACATTCATTACCTCTCCCCGAACTAGTAATAATAACCACTTTTAATAAGAAATAAATTTCCGCTTCCTTTATATTTGAGGGGGGGGGGATTTGTGTTATTTTTGTTTGTTTCTTGAAAAATTAACTGTGTCCATATTTTAGGAGAAATCTCCCACTACGAGGTGCGGATAAAACTGACTGAAGGAAAAGACTGGCTGGATTCTGTTCTTGTTGATCCCAATGATTCACTCTGCAGAGATGACGAGGTTTACGGAGAAACCGTCTGTCACACCTTATCCGACCTGAAACCTGAGAACTACACTCTCCAAGTTCGAACCTACAATGTCAAGGTTGATTCTCCCTCCGCCTGGTCGCTAGCTGTACACTCACAAGCACTTGACGTAGCAGAACCACAGTTCGGTTTGTATCATATTCTCATCATATCCGGTCTATCCATCCTTGTACTCGTCATATCATCCGTCCTCATCGCTAAGTACCTGGAAACCCGGAGAAAGAAAGGGTTTGACCGGGTTCAAACTGCGGAGTACAGCAGACCGATCATAAAATCCAATTCGTATATAATAAGACCGGGTTCTACTCCCGGGACGAACTCCAGGTCGGTTCAGGACCCTCTCCCTCCCATTCCTCAACCTGAAAACATTTACGCTGATCTCACACCTAAACTGGAGGAGGAGGATAACTACCTGAAACCGAACCCAGCTCGGGTGGACAGTGTTGAAAGTTTAGACGAAGGGGGATATCTTCGTCCTAATTTTAACAGGTTTCAAAGATTGGATACAACCTGCTCCGATCCGGAAACCTCTCCTCCTTTAATCCCTCCAGTGAGTTACCGTTCTGGAAATAATTAAAGTAAAACTCAATCCTTGAGAACAATGCAATCTTCCAATCAGATCTGAAACGTGCTTCACCTGTTTAAGGGATGCAGCTTTTAGATGAACACTTGCAAATTATATATTCATTCATTCCAGTTCAGGGATACATATTCCGCATTGAAAAATTAGAAAATCAGTTTTTGAGTTTCTGAATTACACAAAAAATATTTTTTTGAGGGGGGGAGTTTGATTGGTAAAATATACATCCCTTTTGTTAAATTGTGGGTTAGATTTATCATTTACTTTGGTTATTTTCCCTTGAAACCGGTTTAAACCAGTTGACTGCAGTTTAGTCTAGTTAAATCATTATCCTACCTTTTCATCAGCAGAATTGAGCTGAATTCAATTTAAATACACGATATCAAACATATCGTAGAAAAATATTGCAAGTTAATATAATTAAATTAGTTTTTCAAGGTCATTCGGAAATCACAAATAATCAAGGCTAGATATTGTTATATAAAACAATTCCGTTGGAGAGTATATATTGTATGTATATTGTATATTTCCACACCTGGTGAGGTTTCATTCTATTTTGAACTGAATATAGGTCTGTTCGAAGTTCGTGCCATAAAAGCAATTTTATACGTAAATATAAGGGACCCTCCATTTCAAGAGTTACATAACATATTCTGCCATAAAATCCAAAAAACGCTTCTATGAAAGAAGCCTCCGTTGTTTCTGATCAAACGGATATCTCCATCAATTAATCAATCAATGAGGGTCACCTGAAATTACCTTTAAACCTTTAAATTTTCTTTCCCTGACTTTAATTAGCAGTGTGGTCCTTGACTTCTTTGGAATGAATTCAGTAACACTAAATTCATAACTTCTTGCAGGCCTCTTCCTGTATACTGTAAAGTTAATATTCTTAAAATATGCATTGAAGACTTGGTTTTCTTGGAAATTGCCAAACCTTTAAACCTATTTTTCGACATTTTAGGAATATTTTTCTTCCAACGCAGCTTTTTCAATAATATACAATATTACGTAATTTCACTAATTATATATCGTTATATTTGAAATTCACGAGTTTAAATTTAAAAAACAATCAGCTGAATGAAAAGGGCGTTATTTCTGCACACAATTTTTTAAATAACACGAATTTATAAAAAGTTAAATCATGAAAGTAGAGATTATTTTTAACCGAGAACGAGAATTGCAGATTTATGCTTTTTTAATATTAAAATTAGATATTTTTCAAAATTGATATGCGATGTTTTTACATTCTCTGTGATTAGTATAGTATTTGTATTATTTCCTTAGTGTTAAAAGAAAAAATTAGTAAAACTTAGTTTTGTAATTATTAACTTAATTTTGGATATTCATTTCAGGGGTTCATATTTTCTATGAGAATATTTTCCCCTCGCCTTACTCTTCTTTATAAATTTATTTTCATCCATGTATGTTAAAATTAAAAAAAAAATTATGTTAAAATCCCATTTAGAGTGCCATCATCGCGGAGGATTATGAGGCTATACGTAGTATTGTAAACCGTTATGGACACTCCTTAATTTAAGGGAAACTCAAATTTCGTTGACAGTCCCTTTAAGGTTTTATTTCATACCGTCAACAGTCCCTTTATTTTCTATTTCAATCCGTCAACAGTCCCTTTATTTTCTATTTCAATCCGTCAACAGTCCCTTTATTTTCTATTTCAATCCGTCAACAGTCCCTTTAGTTTATATTTTGATCCGTCAACAATCCCTTTAGTTTCTATTTCAATCCGTCAACAGTCCCTTTAGTTTATATTTTGATCCGTCAACAGTCCCTTTAGTTTCTATTTCAATCCGTCAACAATCCCTTTAGTTTCTATTTCAATCCGTCAACAGTCCCTTTAGTTTCTATTTTGATCCGTCAACAATCCCTTTAGTTTCTATTTCAATCCGTCAACACTCCCTTTAGTTTCTATTTTGATCCGTCAACAGTCCCTTTAGTTTTTATTTCAATCCGTCAACAATCCCCTTAGTTTCTATTTCAATTCGTCAACAATCCCTTTAGTTTCTATTTCAATCCGTCAACACTCCCTTTAGTTTCTATTCCAATCTGTCAACAGTCCCTTTAAGTTTCTATTTCAAACCGTCAGCACTCCTTTAATTTTCTATTCCAATCTGTCAACAGTCCCTTTAGTTTCTATTTCAATCCGTCAAGAATAATGTTTGAATAGTCATTATACAATGCAGCTTTGTAATGCTAGTTCCAGTTAGAACTAGAGATGGATATATTTTCTGCTTCGTTTTTGAAAGTTTTAAAGATTTTTTAACATTAAAATGTCAAGATTTTTGATGCGTTTTTATGTAATATACTAGCTAGAGTGCCCGGAGTTGCCCGTGGAATTAAATAAAACGAATTTTGAAGAAAAAAATCGATTTCGGAAGAACAAAAATAAAAAATTTTATTTTATAGATTATGTAAAATTATTTGATCTAAAAGTTAGCTTTTTTATTATACAGACAAAAATGAAAATTGTTAAATCGATAAAAAAAGCTTCTCAAATCCTTTTAATTAAAAAAATAACTTGAAAGATTGCAGAACAATGTCCATCTCTAGAAACTAGCAAGTTTATTTCTAGTCCAAATGTCAGGTTCTTATGTTTAAATATCTAAAAACAATTGTCACCAAATCCAACAAGTCGATAATGCTGTTTAACAAAACGTTGGCTGAATGTAATACAACTTTCTGATTCAAATTTAGTTTTTTTACAATATAATATCCGATGTACTTTGTATTTTAACAGAGCCCAAAATTTAAAAGAGTATCGTTGAACGAAACTCCCGAGTTTCCTTTTTGGGGTCTTAACATTTGTGTACATTTTGATTTATGAGATTCGAAAAAAAAGGAGAATATAAACAAACTGAAAAATAACATTTCATGACAAAAATATTGATATTCACAAAACCCCATTCGTGAAACCCGGGTTTTAAAACTGGTTTTCATAACGATACCCTGTCTTACGTTTTGGGCTCAGAGCTACCCACTAGACAAGATATTTCTAGTTTGAGAACATGTTTGTCAAGAGAAACTTGTGATGTCGACCATAAAGTTGATTCCTGTACAAGTGTACAATGAACATTTATTTGTAGATCCTTTTATATTGTAATATATTTTGTCAATAAATATATATGGGTGTTATCAACGAATTTTAATTCATATGTTTTTTAATGTAATTTTTTTTGTGGGGCACAAGAATCTAAAATGAATAAAACGTAGGAAGTTTGATTTTATGTTTACATTAAGGAAAAAAACATTAACTTTAACGGTTTTCCAATGTTTTTAAAAATCTTTGTATGTTTTTTTTTTCAGAAATTTCGCGCAGTGTAATCGAGCTGTAGAATTTTGAAATAGGATAAATATTAAACATAAAACTTGAATGTTATGAAACTAATATGAATTAACATATCACAGAGGAGATTTTTCTTTACCTAGTTTGTTTTCATAACAGTATGGAAATTTGCTTATGTAAGTATAGAGGGGGGACAATCAAAGTAATAAATCTCAAATGTCGTTTATCTTTAAAATTTTCAAATAATTAATACTTATTTGAGACATTGATACTTTAATTTAAAGAAATGGTTTAAACTTTCTGGGGTGGCCTAATGAACGACACTTGTCCATGATTGGCTCTATTTCAATGCTTTGACGAAGACGTAATTGTCGCGCTTGTAGGGAATTGTCTATAAATATCGTTTGCTTATCTGTGTCAGTCTGTAGCCATAAACGGCTGAACCGATCAGAGCAGCAGTTAAAATATAAAATTATTTATGGGAAAGCCTAGTACATTCAAAATTAGGTAAAGTCGTCTCTGAAGTCTTATTCTTTGTGGTAATTGATAATCTTATTTACATTTCAAATTGAAAGTCGTCTTTATCAGAATGAAAATAAATAGAATAATAACCTTCGAAGTCGGAAGTATTTAATTCACCCAATTCCCCAACCTCATAATTAGGGACGTATTTAGAACAATTCTGTATATTTCATATATGATTGCTATATGTAAATGAATTGTTAAAATAAACTATGGGATACAATTTAATCAACTTCAATAAATGTCTTTTTAATGCATATTCGGCAATGGTAAAGAAGAATGTAAATCTGCAGAAAAACTATTTTAAACCCGGTTTTGATTCAGCTGCAGAGTAAAATTTTGTTGGGTCTATTCAAGGTTGCCAGGATGAACTAACAAAAACCATTCATACTAACAAACTATTTAAATAACTGTGACGAGTTCAAAGGAATTGATTCTGTGCCACGAACTCAAATGTCCTTATCCCTATATCTTTGGAACCCACTCAAGTCCTTAGATATTTCAAACATAAAATTCTGTAAGATCAATTAATTAAGTTTGTTATTTTAAAAGATTACACCATCAAATTTTAAATAAATAGGTATCATAAGGTTTGAGTATGTGGCAAAGACTCAAATCCTTTTGCATCTAATTAATAATTTATATATGTTTGTTTTCATGTCTGTTCATAACTCTTGATCGTGTTGACTGCAATTTGCCTCAAATAATGTACAGGGTGTCCCAATAAACATGGGAATTCAGTGACGAATTCGATATCGTCTTTTCAAATAATTCTTTGATTTAGTATAGTGATACTTACTGAGAAAGCTGTAATCTGTGAGAGTTTCGTCTGCTATATTCACACTTTGTTTATGTTTTGACTGCATACTTAGTAAAACAAGAAAATTGCAATATTCAAACAGAGTAAACTTGTCCGTCTTCACTGTTCATCTCCCGGATACATTATAAACACATCTTTACAGTCTTTTATCCTTTTTATAAAATAAACTCTAGCAGACATAATTATATTATGGCTTTTGAAATTAGTTATTACAATGCTAATTGAAACAAAGACGATATCGAATTCGTCACTGAAATCCCATGTTTTTTTGGGACACCCTGTACTTAGCCCATGGATTCTTTAAAAAAAATAAGTTTAACTGGTCAACTTTTGACAGACAAAGCTGGATTACCAAGCTAGTAATGTAATAAAATCAAAGATTTTTAATTTGTTAAACATTTAAGTTTCTTCTGGCGAAGTCTCTTCTGAAAACCTAAAAATCTGACATTGAAAAATTTATTTATTAGCATCGACAAGCTAACATTTAATGTAGAGGATAAAATCTTGGTGTAATTGAGGGCTTAGGTTGTCATAAAACTCGCAAGTTAAAAATACTCTTGTGGTTTAAGCATTTCAGCATACTTTAGCATTGCCGCATCCTTTCAAGAGGAATTCAAGCCTTAAAACTATACAGGAAAAATGTCTAAATACGATTTGATGGCTGCACGCTTACTAATCATTTCTAATAATCTTATCGAAGGTACGCTGGAATTAATTTTCTTCTAATTTTATATATCATATTTGATAAAGGAGTTGGAACGCTTGAAAGAAACAAGATTGAATCAAAATAAGATTGATAGTTAATAGATCTTGCCAATCAGGATATGCTAAACAGGAATAAACCAGAAAATAGAAATAGTTAATACGGAGGGACAGGAGATAAGAATGAGGTATAAGGGTCAAGAGATATTGAGGAGGGATGAGGGAAAGGAGGTAAAAAGGAGAGATGAGAGACAGGAGATAAAAAGAAGAGATGAGAGACAGGGGATATAAAAGAGAGATGAGAGACAGGAGCTAAGAAGGAGAGATGAAAGACAGGAGATAAAAAGAAGAGATGAGAGAAAGGAGATAAAAAGGAGAGATGAGAGACATGAGATAAAAAGAAGGGAAAGAGACTGGAGATAAAAAGGAGGGATGAGAGACAGGAGATAAAAAGGAGGGATGAGGGACAGGAGATAAAAAGGAGGGATGAGAGACATGAGACAAAAAGGAGGGATGAGAGACATGAGATAAAAAGAAGGGAAAGAGACTGGAGATTAAAAGGAGGGATGAGAGACAGGAGATAAAAAAAGAGATGAGAGACAGGAGATATAAAAGAGAGATGAGAGACGTGAGATATAAAGTAGGGAAAGGGACAGGAGATAAAAGAGAGAAATGAATAAAAAAGATATAAAGGATCTTTACAATGAAAGAAGGAAAAAGTGAAAAAGGAATGGATGATATAGAAGAATATATATAAGATAAGATATAAGATAGAAGAATATATATAAGATAAGATTTAAGATAGAAGAATATATAGAAGATAAGATATAAGATAGAAGAATATATATAAGATAAGATATAAGATAGAAGAATATATATAAGATAGAAGAATATATAAGATATAAGATAGAAGATAAGATATAAGATAGAAGAATATATATAAGATAAGATATAAGATAGAAGAATATATATAAGATAAGATATAAGATAGAAGAATATATATAAGATAAGATAGAAGAATATATATAAGATAAGATATAAGATAGAAGCATATATAGAAGATAAGATATAAGATAGAAGAATATATATAAGATAAGATATAAGATAGAAGAATATATATAAGATAAGATATAAGATAGAAGAATATATATAAGATAAGATAGAAGAATATATATAAGATAAGATATAAGATAGAAGCATATATAGAAGATAAGATATAAGAAAGAAGAATATATAGAAGATAAGATATATGATAGAAGAATATATAGAAGATAAGATATAAGATAGAAGAATATATATAAGATGAGATATAAGAAAGAAGAATATATAGAAGATAAGATATACGATAGAAGAATATATATAAGATAAGATATAAGATAGAAGAATATATTTAAGATAAGATATAAGATAGAAGAATGTATATAAGATAAGATATAAGATAGAAGAATATATATAAGATAAGATATAAGATAGAAGAATATATAATAACTATATGTTTTCATGCGGCAGTATATCTACAGTATGACCCGTAAAACTGTGGGGAAGGAAGGCAACTGTTATAATACCCACTATCTCAGGTCTATAGTCCAATTAACATGGAAAGTGCATCTGGTAAAATTATTTGTTTTTGACAACATCAAGTGCACCTAAGATAGCTTGGGAACCCAGCTTCGCCTAAAAACTAAGTTTTCCTTATAAAACTAATGAAGAACTTTAAAATATCTTCTTGACAATGTAAATTGTCTGCATGATACTAATGATACTAATTTTTGCTAAAATGTTGAAATATCAAAAGTCTACACCATCAGTTTGCAAAGATAAAGGGATTAGAAAATTTGAGTTTGTGACAAAAACTCAATTCCTTTTTAAGAAATCGAGATTTTTAGAAAATTCTGATTAGCCTTCCAGGGGGTTACTAAAGTTGTCGCATCAAATTTGGGACACACACATGCAGACTAACAGACAAACAGGGTAAATATTATTTTGTACATTAATTAAAGAAATAGTTTAAAAGAATGTCATGAAAAAATAGATTTATTGAGAATCATACGATACATTAATTGGTCATAAGATAGGTTTAAATATATCCATGATTTTCAGGATTTAAATTTGGATTTGTTAGTTATTAAAGCTTTAAATAATATAGCTAAGAGTAAGTACAGAAATCTTTCATCTTTTAAACTTTGATGATTAAGAATTTAATGTGTTAAATAACCATGATAAATGCATTCAAGAACTGACCTAAATATATGGATAAAAGGAGTCCTATTCTAGAACTGAACTCCTAAATATATATGGTTAAAAGGAGTCCTACTCTAGAATTAAACTCCTAATTATATATGTGTAAAAAAAGTCCTATTCTAGAATTGAATTCCTAATTATATATGGTTAACAGGAGTCCTACTCTAGAATTAAACTCCTAAATATATGGGTAAAAGGAGTCCTATTCTAGAGTTAAACTCCTAATTATATATAGATAAAAAAGAGTGCTATTCGAAAATATAACTCCTAATTATATGGTTAAAAGGAGTCCTATTCTAGAATTGAACTCCTAATTATATGGTTGAAAGGAATCCTATTCTAGAATTGAACTCCTAAATATATGGTTAAAAGGAGTCCTGTTCTAGAATTGAACTCCTAAATATATGGATAAAAGGAGTCCTACTCTAGAATCAAACTCCTAAATATATGGATAAAAGGAGTCCTATTCTAGAATTGAACTCCTAATTATATATGTTTAAAAGGAGTCCTACTCTAAAATTGAACTTCTTCAAATATAGTTAAAAGGATTCCTATTCTAGAATTGAATTCCTAATTATATATGGTAAAAATGGAGTTCTATTCTAGAATTGAACTCCTAAATATATGGATAAAAGGAGTCCTATTCTAGAACTAACACTTGAATATCATGGTTTACAGGCTATCCTAAAATTGAACTCCTTGATATATAGTTAAAAGGAGTCATATTCTAGAATTGAACTCCTAAATGAATTCTAATTATATATTTTGATAAAGTCCAATATCCTCCTAAAAGACTTGGCAAGTTTTTGAAAAGAGTCGGTATGTGGACTAGCAAATATAAATTAAGAGAATTGTAGCAAAGAGTAAGCGAAAAAGGGCCTTTTATGAATTTTAAAAGAGGATTTGGAACGAATCCTGAACCATCTCTCAAAACTTAAAGCACTCTTTTTTAAAGATAAAGATACGACTAGAGGTTTGGTTGCATTGGTTACGAGTACTCCTTGCTGTCCTGCCTGTGGTTTAGATCATGGAGGAATTCCTTGAAGATCAGAGGATCAATATTCTTTCCAAGCTGGTAGAGGAGGAACCAGTCTCCCACACGGAACTTTTGGCATATACTCTCAATCTGAAAACACACAATGAATTCGCATCAGCAAACTCTCACTTTCGATCCCAATTTGACTAACTAAACTTCAACTTTATGCTTATTTTTCCGTTGATGTGTTTTAAATAAAAAAGTATAAAAATACAACTATGTAAGATTGGTGAATTATAAACCAAAATGTGACTAAATTCTAATTAAAGAAACCGTATGGTTACTGGTGAGACCAGGCCGTGACCAAAGATACAATTACTAATGTTGGACTCCACACACCAACAATAAATAATTTCTAGACTAATACTCAATCAGGGTACTGAGACGCTCTACTAAATGCGCATTGGCCCGGCGCTGTACATGAGAATAATTTTGCTATATGCGCTATTGACTGGCTGATTTCATTAAAAGTAGAATATTTGAAAAGTTATTTTCACGACATTCGCCTATAGCTTAACGTTCAACCGAAATTTTTTGATTTTTTTATATTTTTGGACGGTTATTTAACATTGAACATATTGCCAATGCAAAGTTTTCCTCACAGTCTAATTTATTTTGTTTACAATTGCATTGGTACTACACAGTAAACTTTAACATTTCCCAACGCAAGTATATTGTATACATTGTATAGTAATAGGCTTTATACGCATAGAATGGATCCTTAGAGACGACTGACGGAACAGGTAACTCCTCATAGATGTAAATATATGTTTCTCTCTTTGCCAAATCATTCAGATTACTATTATAAGATATCTAGATTATCATTTTAATAATTATTTAGATTGTTTAAAGGAACTGTGAGCGTTGTTAAAAGTGACCCTCTATGCAAAGATGTCAATGCCCGATTTGCAATGGTGTTTTATGTGGATATTAAAAGATATCCATTTAGTTTCTTTATTCGGTTTATTTCATTTGCGGTTTCACTGCAAAAGTGACTAGCGCATTGGCTTATAAAAAAGCAATGGTGAAATTTTTAAAAATTAACACTTCAAGGTTTAAAAACGACAATATCTTCCACATTTTTTTAGATAAAGGTTTCAAGAGTACCGTTGTAAATCGGACATTGCCATCTTCGCATGGGGGTAAAATAACGCGTCATCTTCCAATTCCATTATATTCTGGGTCTGACAGTACCTGGTAGGCAGGAGTAAGCCTAGATCTGGCTTTTAGAAGCATTTCTCTCATCTTACCGCTGAAGATGATAATAATTCTGTAGAAGACCTGAAATATAGATTTGTAAATACACAACCTCCAGGTGGAGATTGGCTTGGTTTGGTTTTTTAAACTTTCAAGTTTTAATTTTAAAAGGTTCAACATCAAATCTAAGAAGTTTCACAAATTTCAAATTTTTTACTCTAAATATTTGCACTAACCCTGAAAGAAGAAATATACGAAAATAAAAAACCGTATTTTCCATAATGTACTTTCTCCAAGGATAAAAATTTGGATAGTTTTTTAAAAAATGTGTACAGTGCAGTGTTTTGAAATTTCAGGTTTTTTGTGGTGCTTTTTAATAGTCAGAAAATCTTTGACGATTTATTAAGCTTATCAAGCTTTTGCCCATTACTTTAACTATGTTCATTTAAGTGCAATTAAAAAAAAGAGCTTGGGAATAATTAAGTTATGGAAAGTTATGGAAACAGGCAAAGATTTGGAAATTTTTAAAAAGGATGATATAGAAGAATATATATAAGATAAGATATAAGATAGAAGAATATATATAAGATAAGATATAAGATAGAAGAATATATATAAGATATGATATAAAATTTCGCGCAGTTTAATCGAGCTGTAGAATTTTGAAATAGGATAAATATTAAACATAAAACTTGAATGTTATGAAACTAATATGAATGAACATAAAAAAAATAAACATACATTGCCCCCTCCCCCACAAACTTAAAACTCGTATTTTCGTATCTGTGTCGGTCAACCTATTCTCCTAACCCTTTCCAGCCCCCGTCCCCCAACCCTTAATTCAATGAACAATTCTTTCAGTTTTGACAATACCACCATTCTTTAAGGTTGACCATAATTCTTACGCTTTTCATTTTTTTATTTCACTTCAAAAAAACCCTCTCCTTATTTGCTTACTTTTTTTTGTAAATTTCTAGAAAGTTATTTGTTACATCATCTTTATTTTTAATTTGTAATAATTTTGGTCATTTTCTGTAGGACTGAAGAGGATATAAAATATATCGAAATTAATTTCCAAACCCGAGTTTTTCTACCTGTGAGAGTAAAACCTTTTTTGCCAGTTCGCCCAATTTTTTTTGCTGAACAATGTACAGGTTGCTCCAATAAACATGGGAGTTCAGTGATGACTTTTATATGGTCTTCGATCCATGCGGCATTTTTTCATGAACACAATTATTGCAGTATTCCAGCTTTAACATCTAATTTCGAAAACGCCTGGTCTTGAGATTTTCAAAATGTGGTCTACCATTTTTGTATCTTAAAAATGGCAAAATTTCAATTTATTTACTACATCAAAATTGTCTACATATCTAATATCTCTTCGTCAATTTTTAAGACACAAGAAAGGTCTATATACTATACAGACCACTTTATGAAAAGCTCGTCAGACATACAGCCTCGTTTTTATACTTTCTTAGTTATGCATTAAATATCAGAAATCAAAGACGACTTTCAAGTCGTCTCCCATTTCTCATGTTTATTGAGACACCCTGTACATCTTGTAGAAGACAAGACAATCTTTTTGCTTTCAAAGATTTGCAATTAAAGTGGCAGAATTGGTTTCAAGAAAAAAGTAAAAGAAAAATTCATCTTGCTTGATTCATTTGATCTGATCGCTTGGGAATTTGTAATTTGTAATTTTCCGAATTAAGATTTAGAAATAAATATTTCTACCTGGATTCCTGTGATAAGAGTGACACAGATAAACCAGAACCAGAGGAAGACGTAGATTTTCTCGTTTATAACATTTAGCGGCAACACGCAGAGCGCATCAAACTTCTGGACTGTTCCAGAGGAACCGAACTTATGGAACTCGCATTTGGTCATCTGAACAAATTGGAACTGAAATTCTAATTTTTCTAATCCCTTTAACTTTGCTACCTGTGATGTAGTAGATCTTGCTAACTATAAATTCTGTAAGATCCATCAGTCTAAGTTTTAAAATCAAAGATTTACACCATCAGGTTGCAAAGATATAGGGATTATAAAAAGTTTGTATTGATATAAGATATATCAAGCTTTATTTAAGAAATTAAATTAGAATTAAAGATTTAAAAACAAAAAACACAATTTTTATGGTTTTATGTAATAAAAAATTGCCATTTTAAACCCTAATCTTTTAATCTTGAATCTTGATTTTCAAGTTATAAATCTTTCAAAAATCTGATAAAAGTAATAAGGTGACATTTTTTAGTATAATAGATTCACCATGGGGAGAGGGGAGGGGGGTTGCAGGAAAGGAGTAACTGCGACTGTTTCTCGAAAAATTCTCTGCAAACTTATTTATATTCTAATTTCTGTGGAACACTAATTTTTAAGAAAATATTCACCCTATTATTCTATAAAATTATAAAGATGTCATAAATTCATCAGAAACTTTGTTATCAACAATGTATTGCAAACATCCCAATTTTCGGCGTCATTTGTTTCAGGAATTGTTCAAAATTACTCTTTTTGTGCAAAGTAGAGTTTTAAAGTCTGAATCTTTTTTATCTAGAAAATTAAGCATTTTTTCATCCAATCGTACGAAATTAAAAGTTTGTCTTTTGTCTTATTATAAATTTTGTAAAAAAATTTAAATACTTTTAAAACTTTTTGTTTTAAATTGGTTTATATTTGTTTACAAGATTAGTTTTAACTGTATTAAATTCCAGTTTGAAACTTTTAAATAAGTTGTCGGTGTACTGAGCTGGCTATTTTTAAGCATTTAAAATTTTTAAGATTTTTAAAGTTTCAGATGTTCCACAAGAATCTAAGATGTAAATCTTATTTCAAAATCTTTTCGTTTTAAAAAATTATTTTGGTTAATATCTGATGATCAGAGCAAAAAATTCACATAATTGTATTGAAAATAAACTTATCGAGAATATAATTTTAACTTGTGATAAAAAAGCAATATTTCACATTTTTGAGGGGCACTGTAAACGTGAAAATTCGTAAATGTCTCAAAACAATTCCCATCATTAAGTAGTCGTGGATAAAGCATGATCAACATGTAAATGCCACGCGGATTGAAGACGACTTTTTATAAACTCTACCTTTGGGAAGACTCTGGCCATAGGATCCGTCCTCTGTCCTGGTTCTAGCTCCGACATTCTCACAACATCACTTCCGTAGGTTGTAAACTCTCCGCCCAAGAACACGTCCATGAAGTAGATCTGACCCAACACGTTCACAAAGTTCAGGAACTCACAGAAGAAGAATCTAAAAGATTAAATTAATTTAAAGATTCAAGGCCATACATTGAAGGTAATAAAAGTGTGTTTTGCCCCCCCCCCCCCCAATCAAAAACTTCCAGTTACGGTATTGTAAAGATAAAAGGGAGTGTTTAAGATTTAAAAAGTACAGTAACTGCACTTCAAACATTTATCTTATTATAATGTGTGTGATGTCGTCGTTTGTTTCTGGAGCAAGAAATCCGCAACCCACATTTCAAGAGAAACCATTATTGAAAACAACCAAAGAGAAATCAGGGAAATTTCATTTATTCTTGAGAAGACAAAACTTCTCAAGGTACCGAGGAGAATCGGACATACTACTCTTCAAATAGAGGTTTTAATTAGTATTGATCAGATACTTTTATTATTGTACCTAAAGAATGTCGAATTGAATTCAGAAGAAAGCTTACATCATCGCAAAATCATTATATAATGTCAAGCGCGGGTAAACGGCAAGATAAATATGTAGCGTGGGCAACACTGGGTAATTCAGCTAGTACTACATATTGTTACAAAAGAAAAGGAATTAATTATCTCATGTCTTCAATCTGAAAGGTTGTTGTGTGAATATCAAGTCAATGTGGCTTAGCGCATTCTCAATCAAAAGTTTTAGCCTCTAGATATTTAAATCAATGACACGGTTTGATAATTTTCTTATCAGGCATTGTTAAACTATGAATCGGAATGCAGTAAAATTATTCAGACAATTATTACACTAAATTGCAAATTAAACAATTTTGAAAACCCTTCTCCAACTATTAAGAACTTGACCAACTTCGCTTAGAAAATTAAGCCATAGATTTTGGGCAAACCTTCCCTGCATACTTTGCCAAGTTTCTTATTAAGTTGGTTTTCCTTGTCAGCAAAGGGTTTTGGTCGCGGTTTCCTTCCTTAAACGCCATGAAACCCATCTCTGCTTAGTTTTATGGCTTTGTTTGGGAGAACATTTGTCTAATTGGTGAAAGTCAGAACTTTTGTGATACGAATCTAGAGATCAACCATTCATCTAAATATTATGTATTTTTTAATTCTCTGCATAGGATAACTTTAATTGAGGGATAAAACATTTATCCTCAAAAAGTGGCCACATCGGATATTGTGATGAAGCATTCAAGATTAACGATATACTCCACACAAATGTTCTGACCGGCATGAGTAAGATAGGTATATCGAATAGTGATTATTTCCTGTTATCCTCTAAAACACTAATAAAGATCAATGGCATAAGAAAAGTAAAATTCGAATATTTGTTTTGACTGGTACCTTCTAACTATATTAAAATAAGAGAATAATCCCTTTAAATCAGAAAATATGAAATACAATTGTTGAATTCAGATTCGGAAATAGAGAAAAGTTTCATAAAGAAATTGATTTTTTGCCACAAATTCAAATTTTCTCGTCCCTGTATCTTTGCATTCTGATGATGTGTTTCTTTGATATTTCAAACTTAGACTATTTGATCTATCAAAATTCATAGTTTGAAATGACAAAGGTATACAACATTGGGTTAAAAAGATATAGGAGTTAGAAAATCAGAGTTTGAGTGAAAAATTCCTTTTCAATCCGATAGGTGTCATATTTTTTTATTTAAAGGAGTAATATTCATGTAATGTAAACCATTGATTTGAAATCTTTAAATCGTTAAAACTTTAGAAATAAGTGAACTATATAAATAAACTATAAGCTTCATAATTACAAACCGTACCCTATCAACGGAGGGAAATATCGTCGTTTTTTTCTATCTTGAATTCAGTAAACTATAGGTTCTGTGTCGGTGTCCCCGCTGCAAAAAATCCGCTATAGTCACAAACGATATAGAATTCACTCCTGTATGCTGAGTCCATTAGCGCCTGATCCAATCAGGGTTCAGTCATGTGTTTATTGTATATTCTGAACCAACAGAAATAGTATGGCGGTAACATCTATCTTTCTATCTCATTATCCAATTAGTTATGAATTCTTCAATCGGCGCTATCAGTGAAAGGAAATATTTACTTCTACTGAAACTATAGTGAGAACCCAAGATTAAAAAAAAATCACGTGTTTACATAGAAAACGAGAATGGTTTCATCTTTTTTTGCTGAAACAAAAGTTTAAAGGGTATCGTTGCAAATCCCAATAAGTGTAAAATGTCACTGAAATTAACTCTTTCAGTTTACCTATAAGCGTAGAACTGGTGATTATGCCTATTTGTTGTAAAGTAGTCGACAAGGATCTTCTTACGGTCTTCCTATCAAATACAAGGGCGAGGTCAAATACAAGGGGGAGGTCAAATACAAGAGGGAGGTCAAATACAAGGGCAAGGTCAAATACAAGAGGGATGTCAAATACAAGGGAGAGGTCAATACAAGGGGGGGAGGTTACCTTGAACAAGCATTTTCAATTTTCCAGCCTCCCAGGATTTCCAAAGATACCTGTAATAAGTGATGTGTATTCAGTTTGTTTTTTTGGTTGTGTTTTTGCATTTATTTTCTTTCGGGGTCAAATTTGACCCTGAAAGAAAATATATGCAAAAACACAAACCAAAATATGTCAAATTTTATATATTTTTATCATATTTTTGTATATTTTATATACACAATATGTCAATATGACCCTGACAAAAGATATATGCATGAAACAAACGCGTTATAAAGATCATTTTATGATCATTTTAGGATCATTTTTTGATAGTTTTTGACATTTTTTTTAATTACATAGATATTGCAAATTTTGAAAATCAAACCAAAACGACTAGCATCAGGGACATAATTCCGAATTAAGAAATTTGAGAGAGTTCGCTAAATTACTTACCGCCAGTTCAAATTCTGAATCACGTATTCAAAGTTAAATATTCTTAAGGATTTGAATCGGTGATTTTCAGGATTTTAACCGGCGGCGGTGAGTAGTTGCAGCAAACTCTACAGTTGAGTAGATTTGGTCCCAGGTTGCAAAGATAAAGGATTATAAAAGTCAAGTATGATGTTCAGACTATTCTCCCAACTACAAGGACAATTCTTTGATCTTTATTCAATTATTGAATAATTTCATGGATTTTCTTGGAATTTTAATGCATATATATTTTCTGTTTAAGGGAAAGCAAGTTAGTTAAAAGTTAATAAAATTATTTCAATTATTAATTTAGGAAAATGTAAATTTACCTGTTTATCCTGTAGGTAAAGCTAAAATTATTGTTTTTAATTTAAATTTTATTGAATTTTAACATTGATAGGTTTGAATTGAAATAGTTCATACTTCATGTTTTAATCATCTTCATTCAAAAATAATATAGAGATCTAGATTCCAGACATGGATTTAAAAACTAGGCGGCTTAAAGGGAGTATTTGGCAACATGCTGATAGATATTTTCGTGAGAGTTTATCAATAATAAATGATGTAAAAATTTTCAACTCTGGGTTCTTTGAATTTTATTTTATGTATTCAGAATCTAATGGAGGATTAATTGGTATTACGTTCACAAAATCTTTAATACAGTCCCTTTAATACAGTCTTTAATACAGTCTTTAATACAGTACCTTTAATACAGTCCCTTTAATACAGTCCCTTTAATACAGTCCCTTTAATACAATCCCTTTATTACAATCCCTTTAATAGCTATGAGAATCTTCTTGTCCTATTGGTATCTATATATATATAAAGTTGTAATCACTGTTTTTCTGTCTAAATGTTTGTTTGTCCGATCATAACTGAGGAACCCTTGGACCGAATTGCCTCAAATTTTGATTAGGGAAATCGGGAGAACCACTGGAATGTTCTTTGTTTGGTTTTGAGATTCTAAGCTGAGTGGGTCCACTTTAATAGCGAAAATTTTTTTTACCGGTAAAATCGTCCGATTTCGGATAAACGGCGGGAGTAACTATGATCATCCTATGCAAAGCTGGGTTTCCAGGCTAGTGATTTATAATATAGATATATTGCATCTGAAGATACAAACACACAGTTTCTTAGAACAGACAAACCCACATCTCTTGATATTTAATATATACCATAACAGGCTTTACTATATAAACAATTTCTTACCATCATCACTTACTCAGATATTCCCATAAACTCAGGATTTACACAAAATATCGATTTAAGACTAATATTTCCAATAAAATATGTCATTTGACAATTTTTTACTCAAAACCATGTAATCTAAAATATCTGTTTAAATTTTCCAAATACTTTTTTTTTCATAATATGAGATGTTAGAATTAAATGTTAAATCTTAGCAGTTTTTCACCTTGCAGATATGAATGCGCTAAAAATGATTTCTAGAAACACATTTGCTGGGGAAATTAACTTCCAAGAGCGTATTTTGATATGTCCCCGTAAAACATTAATGTTTGTTAGATTTTCTTATAAAAACTTTTTAGATATTCCTAAAACTTTTATTAGATATTCATCAACTTTTTGGCTGGCGTTAACTAACTCCTAATTGGTTGGATCTGCGACGAGTCTGGCCAATAAGAATCAAGTTAGCTGTACATATTCGTGCTTGAGTTTAGAAAGGGTTTGGTTCATTTTGGATTAAACACGACAATAAATGTGATAATTTTCTAGTACTAACCTAGGTGCATAGAAGAGAACAGAGTACTAACCTAGGTGCATAGAAGAGAACAGAGTACTAACCTAGGTGCATAGAAGAGAACAGAGTACTAACCTAGGTGCATAGAAGAGAACAGAGTACTAACCTAGGTGCATAGAAGAGAACAGCTTGGAAGAACAGAGTAAAACAAACCCATTGATAGTATTTATGATACTTTCTACCACTCCCATCTCCAGGAGGAGGAGCTACTCCAGCATGCGCTACATCTGTCCCTATCTTCCCATCAACCTAAAGATGGTTCAGTATATTTACGGCTCACAAGACCAAATTTTCAGAAATCTGTTGGTTCTTAGCTAAGAACTAAACATACAATTATAAAAATGTATCTTTTATTTTCTGTAAGTTTTATACAATTTTTAGCAGAAAAATTTACGAAAGTCGCCATTATTTTATAGCACATCTGTTCCTTCTTTTCTATTTTTCCGTTATTTTTTTTACAATTTTAAAATTAACGGATTTTATCGTTTATAATTTTCAAAAACTTGTTAATGAAAAATTCACTTGTGCTCATGGAGAAGTTTAAACTTATTTAGAAATTTCATGATTTGATTTCCCAGTACTTTANGGTTACTAGTAAATTAATTTATTTTTTCCGATTGGGATCTGCTATCAAATGCCGCGAAACTTTCTTTCAACTAGTTACTTGCTGATTATCACCTTATCTGATATACTGTAGGTTGAATGTATCCAGCAGTAGGTATCCATCACATTCTGTGGAATCTCCTCGACAATACAGTCAATAGGATCCCCTATATACTGCTTAGAGGTGACCAGCAGGCTAGCTGTCACCAACACTATAAATGTTGCCTAAACACAAGCATTTTTATATTCAACGATTTTTCTATTTCGAAATTAAATGGCTTTTTCTTGACCATCTTTTTTGTACATTTGGTGGGTTATTAAAATTTTATTCAACTTTATTTAGCCAAAAAAAATTAATAAAATTTTAAAATTATCAATTTTCTTTGATCCTTCCAAATTTCAGTTAAAATACAAAGATTTAAAACATGCCAGTTATTAAAGAAGAAGATAAGAAATTAATAAAGATTAGGAATGCTTAAAACGAGTTAATGTAAATATATGTTTAGTACTTAAGTATAAATATGAATAAATATAGTTTTATTAATATTCAAACATCTGAATTTATGGAAAATGTATGATTTTTTAGAACTAACTTCTTGTACTCCTTCACAGTACACGCACTCAAAATTACTTATAATTCGCTGCTCTTTATAAAAAAATTAATTTGTTTGAGGTTAAGTAATATTTTGTAGTTGTACACAATTTTATCGTCTTCATAGAAAAAAGGCAAATTTTGTATCGAAAACTTTACAATGTTGGTCAAAATGCGGTAAAAATTGCGACTAGAATTAAATAAAATTGCGACTAGATTTAACCAAAATTGCGACTAGAATTTACTAAAAGAATTAACTACAATTGCGACTAGAATTAACTACAATTGCGACTAGAATTAACTACAATTGCGACTAGAATTAATTAAAATTGCGACTAGAAATAACTAAAATTGCGACTAGAATTAACTAAAATTGCGACAGAATTAACTAAAATTGCGACTAGAATTAACTAAAATTGCGACTAGAATTAACTACAATTGCGACTAGAATTAACTAAAATTGCGACTAGAATTAACTAAAATTGCGACTAGAATTAACTAAAATTGCGACTAGAATTAACTAAAATTGCGACTAGAATTAACTAAAATTGCGACTAGAATTAACTAAAATTGCGACTAGAATTAACTAAAATTGCGACTAGAATTAACTAAAATTGCGACTAGAATTAACTAAAATTGCGACTAGAATTAACTAAAATTGCGACTAGAATTAACTAAAATTGCGACTAGAATTAACTAAAATTGCGACTAGAATTAACTAAAATTGCGACTAGAATTAACTAAAATTGCGACTAGAATTAACTAAAATTGCGACTAGAATTAACTAAAATTGCGACTAGAATTAACTAAAATTGCGACTAGAATTAACTAAAATTGCGACTAGAATTTACTAAAATTGTCACTGAAAAATGAGCACGAAACTTGACGAAAGTAACGAAACTCAATACTATATATGATTAGTTTTATACTAACAGTGATAAAAGTGTTAAACCAACCTTATAGTGAAGCCTGAATATATTATTATCGATGCATATTTCGTCTAGTTTGATGAGGCCTTTGACAGACCCGAACACATCAAACATCTTGATTCTGTCTGAAATAGTATAGTCCGAAATAAAATTGGAATTTAGAGGTGACTCTATTGTAATTTCTAAGACCTTCTATTTCGATACAAATATGGAAGATACCGCGTCGTTTTTCAAATGTTTGATTCTCATAAATATCTTTGAGGCAAAGTCCTCAAGTCACTTTAGAGAAACGATTATCTTTGATTTAATTATAGAGTTGATAAATGACAAAGGGTTCTGCTTTAAAAAGGATGTTCCAAAAAGCACTGGAATTGAGGTATTCAAGGGTAAACGTATCAAAATAAATTAGACAAAGAAAGTCTTTTGAGCTTTAAAACATATGGTCTAACTCTAAAAATTTATATTGGATTTTTAGACAACTTTAAATTTATATATGTAATACAAAAAATTCAAGTTTATTTGAGATCAAAAAATAAATCAGAAAAAAAATTATTTTAAATGACCCCCACCATTTTTTATGAACATAAAGTTCTCTATGCAAGTTAAAATACAGAAAATTGGCTAAAAAGTGTTATTCTTAAAAAAGTTTATGCTCATATATTGTACTGGGCTTTCAAGGCATCTTCCCTTTCAATTGTAAACATTTTCTCTTTGTATACATTGTACATTATAAAACAAATCAACACAAAGGTTGCGGATTATATAAAACCAATTTCTAGGCTATTTAAATTTAATGAAAATCGAATTTTGTTGGAGGCTAATTTTTAAAATGTTGATCCTCCATAAACCTTCCCTGGGGTCTTGTCAGGTCCCACACAAAGTTTTTGACGTTTATTGGATACAAACAAACAGACAAGCAAAGTATATATATATGTTAATACATTGCTAAAAATTAATGACAAAAATTAAATACATTTTATCCGTTATGATTTAAAGATATTGAATTAAAATTATCCCTCGCCGTTTATTAAAATTGTGTTTAGATATTTACATTTAACATCTATACCCGCTGAGCTTTCAAGTGACCCGTCATTTTTAGAGAAGCAAAACACCCTTTAAACATTTGTCTATGTAAAAATTATAAAAATCCTTGTTTTTCAAGCAAAAAAATGATAATATTTATTTATGATTATCTTTAAAAATTTACTGTTGACTTATGCAGCAGAAAAAACGAACAAAATTGCCCTAATTTAACACTTTTAATCCGATTAAGAGCTACAGGGTGCCGTTGTGAATCGGGCATCTAAAGCTATAAATGTATGGTCTCTTGTAATTACGCCAACAGTCTCTTTAAGTTGATGAAAAACTCTCTGTAGCGCTTTTAAATCTAAATATTTCAGAATACTTGTTTCCAGGTTTTTGATGTTTTTCTTAAATCAGGGAATAGTTAAACTTCTCTCGCAGAGTTTTGTTCATCTGGAAATTAGATGAAAAAGTTTGAATTCTCTAGGTTTAAGCTTGAGGCCGGATTGATGGATCAGAGATTAAGGCAAATGTAAACAAAGCTCTAGATGACACATTTAATGTAAACAAACCCTGGAGTTTAGAACCTTATCAAACATTAAACATTGAGTTATAGCTTTTTCAAGTTTTTATGTACTCTTACACATTTATCTTCTATTCTTTTATACATTTATCTTCTTATTCTCTTCTTTTCTCATATACATTAATCTTCTATTCCCTTATACATTTATCTTCTATTGTTTTATACATTTATCTTCTATTGTTTTATACATTTATCTTCTATTCTCTTATACATTTATCTTCTATTGTTTATACATTTATCTTCTATTCTCTTATACATTAATCTTCATATTCTCTTATACATTTATCTTCTATTCTCTTATACTTTTCTCTTATATTCTTTTATACATTTATCTTCGATAATTCTCTTATACATTAATCTTCTATTCTCTTATACATTTATCTTATATTCTCTTATACTTTTCTCTTATATTCTTTTATACATTTATCTTCTATTCTCTTACACATTAATCTTCTATTCTCTTATACATTAATCTTCTATTCTCTTATACATTTATCTTCTATAATTCTCTTATACATTAATCTTCTATTCTCTTATACATTTATCTTATATTCTCTTATACTTTAATCTTCATTATACATTAATCTTCTATTCTCTTGTACATTTATCTTCTATTCTCTTTTACATTAATCTTCTTATACATTAATCTTCTATTCTCTTATACATTTATCTTATATTCTCTTATACTTTAATCTTCATTATACATTAATCTTCTATTCTCTTGTACATTTATCTTCTATTCTCTTTTACATTAATCTTCTATTCTCTTACACATTAATCTTCTATTCTCTTATACATTAATCTTCTATTCTCTTATACATTTATCTTCTATTCTCTTATACATAAATCTTCTATTCTCTAATACATTTATCTTCTATTCTCTTATACTTTTCTCTTATATTCTTTTATACATTTATCTTCTATGCTCGTATACATTTATCGTCTATTCTCTTATATATTAATCTTATATTTTCTTATACATTTATCTTCTATTCTCTTATTCATTTATCTTCTATGCTTTTATACATTTATCTTCAATTTTCTTATACATTTATCTTTTATTATCTTATTCATTTATCTTCTATCATCTTATACATTAANTCTTTGGAACCCAATGTCGTAAATCTTTGATATTTCAAACTTATATTATTTGATCTAACAGAATTCATAGCTTGAAATATTTAAGGTCTACGACATTGGAATCCAAAGATATAGGGTTTAGAAAAGCAGAGTTTGTGGCAAAGACTCAATTCCTTTGTGTATACTTTTTATAGGTTTATCATTTTAAAAAATTCCCCGAATTTTATGAATAATATTTTTTCTATTCAATTTTTAGATAATGAAACTGAATTGAAACTGATATAAAAAAGATGTCTACTCAGGAACTCTTTTAAAGTATAAACTGTTCGGTTTGCTCGAAGACTAGTTAGGCGGAATTCTTTAAAAAAGATAATAATGTTTGCTTTAAAAAGCTTGTAACTGAAAAGGTCCTAAGCTGTGACCCTAATATTATTCTTTGCTCCAAACTAAGGTTTGAATACTAAGAAAATCAACCACCATATTTGAAGAACATCAAATTATGAGTGTATGTATCTTTCTCAGGAAAACTGATACCTGATATTCCTTCCTCCCTGGTTTAAAGAAAATACTGTAGATTTAGTCCTGTTTATCTGGGCTAAGCACTAAGACTGTTGAATCCAATCCAAATCCTAGCACAATGTTTTGATGGAGTGTGAGCCCTGTAAAAGCCAGTTCCTGCCTAAAATCTACCTGACTTGTAAAATCTGAAGTTCAGGGTATACTGATTACGAAATTTACGGACGGAAAATGAACTTTAATTTCTAAATATCTCTTTTATATCATACAGGATATAACATTCATGGAAAAATTCTGTTGAGTTTTAATGCACAATAATGAAGTGTGTTATATGTATTCAGTGTAATTCGCATTAATATTTTCTTTATGCCTTAAAGTATAACGTTAACGTGTACTTTGGTCTCATAAACTATAAGATAAAATTTCAACAGGCCTATCGCCTATCTAACTTGAAACACTTTTTTATCAAAAGGTTTTCATTTTGTTTACGTTCGTCTTTACTCCATTTTATAAATAATCTAGACTAGGTTTAATTTATTCTCAATTTCAAAAATCCGCCAATTCAAAATAAAAATCCTCCAAAACAGAATTCGGCGGAATCATGAAGAAGAATAAGGAAAAGAAACCACGTGTGAATTTTGCCAGCAAATCTTTTATTTACGCCGGAATTTTAGCAGGTAAACATTTATCATTGATTAAATAGGATTAGTTTTAAATATTTATGTATTTATCGTTACGTTTGTTAATTGTAGTTTGATAAATTTATGATTTGATCAGGCGGGTTCTTGTCCGGGGGTGTGCTGAGCTGGTTGTATGTGCTGACCCATCCTAAAGTTTCTCGTGTAGGACACTGGGTCTCTGAATCTATTACTGCTATGATCTGGGAAAAGGTAAAAAAATATCGTTTTTATATTGACGATTTAGCTAGGAGAGGGAGGGGTAACATCGTTTTTATGTTATTCCCTATCTTATCTTACAATAATAGCCGCCAAGAAGGGGAAGGTCAATACTCCACTTGTGTATAAACATTAAACATATCATATATTCACCATTGTTAATGTTATTTATGATAACATACATTCAATCTGAATAATATGTGTACGTGTTGTGTACATTTTATTAACATGCAAGATATTTTTGTTTACATATTTTTTTTGAGCCGAGTCGGGCTGATAAAAATGATAAAGATTAAATCAGATTTTCGAGCCAAAAAACAACATCGATAACGCGAAATAAATTGTAGAATCTGAAAAAAAATTATTAACTGGTTCACAAATTGTTTTTTTTTTGCTTTTCGCTTTTTCGGCTAAAATTTTCATTGAAACAGTCATAGATATTACATATGAGTGATAAAAACGGAAATTCTTACATATATTTTTCAAAGGAATTGAGTCTTTGTCACAAAATCTAATTTTACAATTCTTATATCTTGGTAATCCAATGTCGTAGACCGTATGATATTCTAAACTCTGAATTATGTTAGATCAAATAAACTGTGTAAAATATCCATGTTTTACACCATTAGGTTGCAAAGATATAGAAATTAAAAAGTTTCAATTTGTGTCAAAGACTCAATTTCTTTAATTCAAAGTTCTATAACTCTATGTGTATCAAATAGGAACTGCTCTCCACAAATCCATTTTTCTTATCAGTAAATCTTTGCAACCTAATGATATTTAAGAATATTAATTCTGAACAAATAGTCAAATCAGTTAGTTGAAACTTTTATCTTAGTCTTTTCTATTCGAGAGGGGTATCATATAATACTTAAGTTTAATTCTCTGCAATATTTATAATCTTAGATGTATATAATGTTAAATGTACGTATAATATGTTGGGTTAGATGTATTGGTATAGTATTATGTACTGATGTGTAAACTGTAAACTAAGACTATCCTATCTATCATCAAACCGTATCCAGTAGAGAATACATTAGGAGACTTTCCGGAGAAGCATAGATCTATTCCGTCCAGGGATAACATTGTACTTAATCTATAGACCAGGAATACATTTATATAAACAACAAACTATATTACAGGCTGGACATAAACAGTTAAGATATTAAAGAAAATGGGAAAATATTAATGAAATGATCGCATCTTCGTTTTTAACAATTTACAAATTTATTCGTNAAACTTATGACGTTGCATTTTTTATACACAATTTGAGTATTGTTTACGAATAGGATAATCTATTGAACTGTTACGAATACTGTTCTTCGCATAAATTAAAATAATTTAGAATACTTCTCTTTTTTAAAAAGTGAAATGTTGTTAAGTTTTAAAAAATCTGTAATATTTAAAATATTTCTGTATTATTCTACTAGGTTCACTATGGTACTACGATTGGACTGATCGGAAACGGATGCTTGGGTCTGGCAACCCTCAAATACTGGATGATATTCTGATCAATATCTTTATGTAGTGAAGCCACCATTGGATCGGAATAAAATGTATTTCAGAATTATCATGTTTTAGTGAATTAAAGACACATACTTATGTTTTTCTTTATTCTTTGTTTGTTAAAAGTTAGAAATATCTATAGGCACAGAAAATTATTTCTGTATCCTTAATGTTGGATATTTTACAGTCAAAGGAATCATGAGTCTTTGCCACAAACTCTGGTTTTCTCATCCCTAAATCTTTCAAACTCAATGTCACAGACCTTAGATATTTCAAACTATGAATTCTGTTAGCTCAAATAAACTAAGTTTGAAATACTAAAGGTTTGCACCATCAGGTTGTCAAACTATAGGGATTAGAAAATTTGAGTTTGTAGCAAAGACTCAATTCCTTCGTATCTCTTGTTTTTGTACTTTTTCACTGAACACTTAATATTCATGTCTCCACTTCCCAGGTATTTCAGGAAATCCTTAAATTCAATTATTGACACATTTCTAACAATTCGAGGGATTTGAAATAAAATACATTTCTAGAAATTTAAATAATAAAACACAAAGTTATCTGGTTCAGAAGCAACAGATTAAAGATTTTATTTTTAAGAATTTTTTTATAGAAATGAAGTGAATTTTAGCAAGTTGTAATGAAGTCTAATGAATTCCTGCGTAATTTATTAAATATTATATATGAGTGATAAACATGGAAAATTAGGACCTTTCGGGACAATCACAGAAGCGGAAAATTATAGATATCTTACTTGGTAAAATGTTCTAAATGAGATATAATTATGATATTGTATTGTCTATAAATTTATAATACGTTTTACGGTGTTATATTCATATTTGCATATGTACGTGACACATATACACAGAAACTGCTTTGCATTTAATAACAGAAAGTAGGGATCAGGGTAATGATATATTGAGTAGGAATAATAGTTAGATTGAGTAAGCCAGAGTAGGGATGGATAGAGTATTGGTGGAGTAAATGCATTACTCCTAAAACTGCTTGCAGACCCGTATCAATCCAGGTACAACTCTTAATTATCAATGTCAGCACGGACACAAGCTCGTAAACTATAAATTCTCAATCGAGTTTTACCTTTCAGTAGAGAGTGATTCAGGACGCTTCTTGTTCACTAACAAAGAAATAATTACTCTCTTACTGTAATCAAAGCGGAGTCTATTCCAACTAACTATATTTGAATTCTATGTTACCAGAGCTGAAAACTCAGCTAAACTTCAGCTCAGTTAACATTACAGATTAAGTTTGATATAGTTACAAAATTTACACGGATATATATATATATATAGGCGTAGTTAAGTAGTTAAGCTAATCACAATGCATGGTTTGACGTATTTACAGTATTTAGGCTAGGTTAATCCCCTTTCAAGTTTTTTGTAGTTAATGATAAGCGCATTTAAAGACAATGTAAAACGTAATATATCTAGGTATGTTCAGGTTAACAAATATGGGATGGATTATTAGAATCAAAGTGAATAAATAAATGAATAAAAAATAGTTTGTTAGGCAGATATATATACATATACAAGGGCTAAAAACACATTGATGAATTCTAAAATTATAGAGAGAAGCTCACTATCTGGAGCACAGAAATCACAGTAGGGAAGAAATAGTAGGAATGGAAAGCGTATAGGAGTCAGAGTAGGATGGATAGCATATAGGAGTCAGAGTAGGATGGATAGCGTATAGGAGTCAGAGTAGGATGGATAGCATATAGGAGTCAGAGTAGGGATGGATAGCGTATATGAATCAGAGTAGGGATGGATAGCGTATAGGAGTCAGAGTAGGGATGGATAGATTATATGAATCAGAGTAGGGATGGATAGCGTATATGAATCAGAGTATTGATGGATAGCGTATAGGAATCAGAGTATTGATGGATAGCGTATAGGAATCAGAGTAGGATGGATAGCATATAGGAGTCAGAGTAGGGATGGCTAGCGTATATGAATCAGAGTAGGGATGGATAGCGTATAGGATTCAGAGTAGGGATGGATAGCGTATATGAATCAGAGTAGGGATGGATAGCGTATAGGAGTCAGAGTAGAGATGGATAGCGTATATGAATCAGAGTATTGATGGATAGCGTATAGGAATCAGAGGTCGGATGGACAGCTTATAGGAGTCAGAGTAGGGATGGATAGCGTATAGGAGTCAGAGTAGGAATGGATAGCGTATATGAACCAGAGAAGGCATGTATACAGAGTATGGATCAGGGAAGGGGTGGAAAGAGGAAGGATCAGGATAGGGATGGATTGAGTATGGATCAGGATAGGGATGGATTGAGTAGGGATCAGGATAGGGATGGATTGAGTAGGGATGAGGATATGGATGGATTAAGTAGGAATCAGGATATGGATGGATTGAGTAGAAATCAGGATAGGGATGGATTGAGTAGGGCTCAGGATAGGGATGGATCGAGTAGGGATCAGGATAGGAATGGATTGAGTAGGGATCAGGATATGGATGGATTGAGTAGGGATCAGGATATGGATGGATTAAGTAAGAATCAGGATATGGATGAATTGAGTAGAAATCAGGATAGGGATGGATTAAGTAGGGATCAGGATAGGAATGGATTGAGTAGGGATCAGGATAGGAATGGATTGAGTAGGGATCAGGGAAGGGATGGATTGAGTAGGGATTAGGATAGGAATGGATTGAGTAGGAATCGGGATAGGGATGGATTGAGTAGGGATCAGGATATGGATGGATTGAGTAGGGATCAGGATATGGAGGGATTANATTAGTAAACAATAGAAGGCATATTGTTAAGGTAAGATGTGAAAGGTTCTCCTGACTCAAGAATACAATGAAATAAGCCGCCATAGCGAGGCCTTCCTTGGAGGCTGTTTAGTGTACGGGGTCGGGATATGGAGAACCCACAGAGGACACTCTCTACTCCCACCGTACAATCCTCTCTCTTCTAGAGGCCGCTCGATCAATGCATCGATTGAAGGCCATTGGGTGGCCTGGCCGGGTAGTGCCTGTCCTACAGTCACAACTTTATTGGTGAGATGTATGGATGGTGGGTGGTAACAGGATAAATACAAGATGACCGAACCAGCTGATCCTGCCAGGAGACACACTAGAGAACCATCAACCTGAAACACCGGGAGTCAATCAGGGGAACCCGGAGAGAATGGAAACTAGTGAACCGAACCTGTGCCATCAGTTTACCAGGGGTTGAGAGCAACTAGTTGTGCTATAACTCGGGAACATGAATATAAAACTTCTCTTTAGAACTCAATAAACCTGGAGTTTTTAAGTGATACAAATATGTAAAGAAAGCGTTGGGAGAGAGGAGACTCTTAGCTCCAGGTGTAGGTGGTTACTCACCAATTCCGAAGATAGGGTTAGACCCGGAGATATTTGTTATTAACTAATCTGAACCTAAACACCAGGAGTACAGGGCTGCATGGTTGGATCATCAGGGTCCGGCAGTATGTTACATTTATTCCTAGGGTTAAAGAGCTTGGTAAAAGTTAGTAGATTTCACACAGATGGGAGTGTGTTCAGATTGCACTATAGGATTACAGTGATGGTGCTTCTAGCTTTTACTTTTATAGTGACAACCCGCCAATACATAGGTTCACCCATCATGTGTGTACATACTAAAGAAATACCGAAAGAAGTGTTGAACACGTACTGTTGGATTCATCCGACCTACACACTCAGCTCCGCTCATTGGAAGCGGGTTGGAGTTGATGTCCCACACCCTGGAGTAGATAAAACAAGGGATGAGAGGGATAAGAAACACGTCAAGTATTATCAGTGGGTTGGATTCTGCTTATTCTTCCAGGTATGTTTTCTAATAAAAAATTGGACATTTAAAAAAAAACCAATTTTTACTCTTTAAAGAGGGTCACAGACTGTCTGAGATAGAATAACTATTTTTCAAAATTGTATTCTCTATAAATTAGATTTTTTGCATTATGCATCATTTAACCATTTAGTTTTTTGTTTGGCCTTATATCTTACCTTAGCATTTAGAATACGATAATATTCTCAGATTTTTTGCACAACTTAAACGTTTAAAAGATAACTGAAAATCAATGCCGTATTCTTGTATAGTGTATACCAGTGATTATAAACTTTGATATAAACCTTCCCAGGGGATATTTTTTTATTTAAAAAAATATTAAGTGAATTTCCTTGTCGAGTATAGTCATACAAATCTTATTTATAACTTAATGTTCTCTCTGTATTTAAAAAAACAACTACACTGGTTTAAGTGTAAAAAAATATTAAGTGAATTTCCCTGTTGATTGTAGTCATACAAATCTTATTTATAACTTAATGTTCTCTCTGTATTAAAACAAAACAACTACACTGGTTTAAGTGTAAAATCTGTTTTCCTAGCTCTAGCTTGATTGAAGACTATCTTGTGGAACAACTGATATTTTCCGAGAAATTAGATTTCCAATGAAAAGTTAAGTCCCGGACAGGTTCTACTTTCAACTTAGTGAATAAATAATTTAAACTCTCTCTCCTTTTTATTTATACTAGCCTTATAGGGCGCTTCGCGCCCATCTTCTAAATTAATTGTGAACATGTTCTCTCGGTGTACATCATAAAACAAAACAAAAATAATTCGCGGATTTTCACAAAAAATTTCGTGGATTTTCAAAATTTTTTAAAATTTAATGAAGTTCGAATTTTGATGGAGACAAATATTTAAAATTTCAATCATTCATAAACCTTCCCTGGGGTCCCTAGAGGTCCCACAAAAAATTTGGGCCCGATCGGTTCAGCCGTTTTGACGTTTATTGGATACAAACAAACAGACAAACAGACAGACAGACAAGCCAAATTTATATATAGATATCTAATGGAAAGGAATTCTTTAAAATATCTAAACACGACCTTTAAGGGATTTTATTGTAGAAAATTCCTTTAAAACAGTATAGAATTCATAAATGCTTTTTTTAAAGGTGTTCATACGAAACTTATGAATGTTGTCGCAGGGTTTCCCTGTTTGTAAAACGTCACAATATTTATTTGTAATAATTCTAAACTAATTATGACGTATATGTATTATTTAAACCTGTGAAAAAGTGAGAAAAAAATTCTAATTGTATAATCCTGGTTTCTATATCATCACCCTGTAAGGAAAACTATACTGAAGTCAGAGAAGTGGAAAACTAAAAACCAAAATTTATATATAACGTTTTTCTGTGTTCAAAATAGTGCTTGAATATTTATATGTAACCTTGTTCAAACCAATTCTTGAAAACTGTAAAATAAAATATATAATAAATATGTCCAAGATCGAGATAGAACAATTATTTTAAAATTTTAAACTCAAATTAACATATAAGGAATAGATTACTAGCATCAAATAGTCGAAGTTTGAAATATAAAATGTTTCCAACGTCAGGTTGCAAGGATATAAGGATACATAGTGAATAGAACATTATAGAGTTTGATGCGAGTTATCAGTTACTCCGGTTACTAGATTATTTGTTACGGGTTCTATCGTAACTATCTACTTGTCAATTTTAAATTATACAGACATATATAAAAGACTCAAAAGAAAAATAAAGAATTAGAACCATTAAAATTTATATTTCTAAAATTGTCTATGAAGTCCACAATAATTCTAATCATCTTGCAAAACTTTAACTGAGATTTTCACATTGGGACGATTATCATCGGACAAGGCTGGCAAACTCTCTACCCCGGAATCCAACCAAGCCATGAAGATATAAATGCTCCAAGAAAATAGAACCACTAGAAGAGAGAGAACCACGTCCCTGATGAAGACCAAGGCAACATCCTAGATAATTACAAAAGAAAGTTTCAAACAAGAACACGTCTCAATTATCATATTCAAACTTGAAACTCGTATTTTAAATAGTTGTAAGAAAGGAACTGGAGTTGTGATTTCAAATTACTTTTCATTTTAAATAGGACCATGCCCGATTTACAATGGTACTCTTTTATTTACACAATAATTTAAAAGAAATCGTAGTTAATCTAGTTCGCGCACAGATATACAGAATACAGATATACAGAAACCGCAATGAAAATACCAATCTTTTCAGACAAATCGTGGACATCTTCTTCATTCGAAATGATGTCTTAGGACCATGATTACTCGCCCCAAAGTTTGCTTTAACTAAAGAAATTTTCTAAATCAAATAGTCAAGGTTTGAAATATCAAATGGTTACACCATCAGGTTCCAAAGATTTGGGGATTAGAAAATCAAAGTTTACTTTGAGCAATCAGTTCCTTTCCACGCGTCACGGCTTTTGCGCATAAATACGATAAAAATTTGAACTATGTCAAGTTATTTTTTTAAAAATGAAGTAATACACAAAAGCTACCTGACTGCAAGAATCCACAGACCCCATAATTTCAGCCTCTTTTTCAGCCTCTTTCTTCATGTTTTCGAGTCCAATGAGAACACTTTGTAGAAATGTGGTTCCACAAAAATAAGGGGGAGTTTTAGACAGGTTGCAGTTTATCCAATACTCAAATTGATCTACCATGAGACGGAGTCCTTTCAAAAACTTGCAAAGATTAATTCTGATGCCCTCAAGAAATCCATGGATTATATATTGGCTTTGGTGGATCACATCTCTAATTGGTCCCCATACATCGATTTCTAGAATGTAGAGGAAAAATTTCGTGATTGGCTGGATAATCCATTTTATTATCGGTGATTCTGAAAGGATAGAGTCTAGTAGGAGTCCAAAGTCAATCTTCTTTGATGGGAACTTGACTTGTGGCATTTCTGGCATCTCAACTTCAGGAAGTTCTGGTATCTCAACTTCAGGAAGTTCTGGTATCTCAACTTCGGAAAGTTCTGGCAATTTTAGATACGGTTTCTCAACTGTAAACCAAATTTTGCTCCACAAATTTGTAATACCGAAATCTGGAAATTCAGCGCCATCTGGGATCTCTAAATGTGACAAATCTGGTTCAGTTTCTTCTTGATTTTCTGAGGTTTCCATTATGATGGTTGCAACTGCTTCATAATCCTCTCCACTATGGTAAATTCGTATCTTTGCTTGAGCCACAATAAAGTCTCCATGTTGTCTAACAAAATGGACTATTAAACCGCCGAAAACAAACAATAAGGCGATTACACATACACATTTTATAATTCTGATGTTCTCGCTTCGCGACATAGTTCATTCTTTCAAATTCGAACATTTTCTCATTTTGAGTTTTATTTGTTGAAACAAGACAAGTAAACTTTACAGAGAAATTTTTAGATTTTTTAATAATGTTCTTTAAAAAATATAAGATTAGTAGAATGACTTCAGAAAATAGGATTTTGGAATGAAAATTAAATTGTAATGTTTGTAAAATTCTGATATTCGTAATAATATATCTAAGATCTTTTCACTTTTGGTGAACATAACATTTTAAGAATTTCTGTTATAAATACTGTAAAACTATAAGATTTAAATCTATGCTAAATTAAATATATCACGCTTTTTCTCACTTTCATCTTTTCTGGAATCTTCAAATTTTTCATAAATTATTTTTCGTTCTCATAAGTTCAAATTTCAATAAAAAGTTTTTTTATTTCCAAAAATGGCATGACTTTCCTACAAACTAAAAAAAATTGTCATTTTATATCAGGACCGATTGAAGAGAAATGTAGGAAGGAACTGAGTTTTACCACAAACTCTGATTTTCTAATCCGTACATCTTTGCAACCCAATATCGTAGACTTTTGATATTTCAAAGTTAGACATCGTGGTTAGACAATTTGATTTTTTGGCAAAAACTCAATTCCTTTCTATTAAACTAAATTCATATATGATTCATATTCTAGTATACGCATTAATGCTTTTTTAGAGTTAGGCATTTTTAAATGGCCTGATATAGATAAAATTATTCTCGTAACCATTGCATATTAATCTCTGGAGTCCTCAAGAAGAAAAAGAGTTTATTTTAATTTGTTCATTTAAAATTTTCCATTTCTTTTATGAGAATGTTACATTTAACATACCTTTTGAAAACAAAGATTTCCAAGGTTTAAAAAATCAGAATTCAGACCGTTTTTTGTTGTGAATCTTGGTATCAAGCATTGATCTACATCTCATTCAAACCTACGGATTAATTTAACTCCTCTTCGATATCCCGGGGAGTTATTGCGCAGTGTCAACAGACCCATTTCACTTTAGAAGAAGTTACCGTTAAAGCTATTTGCTTTGATAGCGTCTTCCTATTCTTCAGTTTTCTGGTTATCACTGTACACTATTTTCGTACATTCGAAATTGAGGGAGAAAATAGGAAAGGAACTAAACATTTCCCCCAAATTTTTCAATCTGATTTTCTAAAATTTAGGCTAATAATATTCATAGTTCGACAATCTAAGGATTTGAAAAATTTGAGCTTGTCGTGAGTGTTTAGTAGTACCTTGGTCCAGATTTCATTTATTAGATAAAATAAAATTTTTTTAATTACTTATACTATCCCCGTCAATATTAAAGATATAGTGGTTGGCGATTATATCAATACAATAAAGACGACTTTTTATTAATAATGCTTAAATCCCTAATCAGCATTTTTCAAATTACAGGTTTGCAAGTAAACAAAGCGAAGCTGTTAATTGACAACTTCTCTTTGTTTACATTTTTAAGTATTGAACTTGAAATTCGTCTTTTTTGTATTGATATATACGCGAACGACTGTATAAAAAAAAACCCTATCATGGACCTACGATATATGTTTGGTACATTTCAGACCAATTATTAATATTCAGAAATCAATGATTATTTCTGAACAGTTTATCCATGTGTATTGGGACGCCCTGTATATAATTTTATTCAATAATTTGC